ACTTCTTTTCGAAGGCTAAGCTACTGGTACGGCCTTCTTTACATTTGCAAACCAAACCAAACCAAACCAAACCTCCTGAATTAAAAAGAAACTCAAAAAAGTAACGAAAAAATTCCGTGATTTGTGTGTTTCGGCGTTTATTTCGTTGAATATCTCAGGAATAGGGTAAAGATTAAGAAACAAACTTTGCCATGTAGCCTGTATATAACGGACATTGATGCTATTATATTTTGATTGTTAAAGGTCGAGATGGCAAGATTAGATGGATCTTTTCCACTTCATATCCTGTTTTGAAGAGCGAGTTCGGGGGGAAAGTTCGGACCATGTCCAGGACCGCATACTTTTATTAATAGCGAGTTTGCGGCCGAAGTTTTCATCTCTAAAGCGTGAACGTCGAACGCCGAGCGCCGCTTACAAGATAGTGGCGCTCGACGTTCGACGTTCACGCTTTAGAGATGAAAACTTCGGCCGCAAACTAGCTAATAAAGCAGTCATCTCGCCTTTTGTCTCCTAGATCTAACGAAGCAGTTTAAGCTTATTTACTGTATGTACAGTACCTACACATCTATATTCAGTAAAAGTTCGATTTAACGGACTTCAGATTCAATGGAAAAATTTCCGGTCCGTATGTCGTATGGGCCCACCAGTGGCCAAGCAGTTCCGTCTCTGAACACTGGGAATTCGGTCATAGGTTCGCGCCGCGCTCGGACGGGCTGGCCACGTGGAGTTTTCCGGGTTTTCTCCACGTCTGTAACGTCTAAATAGGGGCCAGTTTTCCATAAAATGACCTCCCGGAAGGCATTCCACCTAGGCAGATCGCTCAAGTATTGCGTTGCCATAACTTAACAAACAAACCATCTACCAGTGTGTTTGTTGAGTGCAATTTTTCAACCACGAAGCGAATTCAGGAACACTGAGTTAGAGGAATGATTGTCGTCACTAGCTGGTTTTGATACATAAAGTTTGACTTCTTATTCTGTCCGCAAGAGGGAGAGAGATCGTTGCTGTCGATTTCAATAGAATAACACAGACTGGCGTCTAATTACAGAACGATTCCGTAGCCATAGTTCCTGTTTTTATCACGAGATATCGCTAGTGTCGTGACGTTCAGATAGCGTATACCTCAGGGGTGGCCAAAACGTGGCGCATGCGCCAAACTTGGCGCATTGGACGACTACAAGTGGCGCTTCGGTGCAATCAACCTCTTGATTTGTTTTTTATTGCTTGTACGTTACACGACGCATTCGTGTTAATGTACACTACACCACTGATGTCATATAGAACTATTTTTTACGGATAGCTACACTGCAACCGCATTATTCATTGCTTGTTCTGTGGCAAATCTGAATTTTCGTCTTATAGATTAAAATACCTAAATAAGGGGTAGCCGAAATTTTCTCCATTACGGGCTGCTAACACTCACGGTACGCCACTGCGCATGTGAACTCGTCTATCAAAAAATTGGCGCATGGTATGCAAAAAGTTGGCCACCCCTGGTATACCTCGTACCGTACGGTGTGCTTGGAATTTTTTATCGATATTTTAGCTTTAAAACAATAGTTTATCATAATTGGTTGTGAAGTATCTCCGTTACGTTGCTAAGAAATCGTTATGGAAAATATTGCATTGATATATTAGAAAATACTTGTTGTTATTGAGATAAGCACTTCTCAAAAGGAAATCTTACTAACAAGCATGTAGATTTAGTACATAGGCAAATTCTGGTGGAGGAAAAGTCTATATTCTGTCTTGAGACTTCATGTTCTGAAGGATTTTCTACTTTCCTTCGATTACGTGAACATTGGAGAAAGTACTGTACCTGTACATGGATTTGCCTGTAAAATTCAGAAGCTGGAATTCAAAACTATAAATTCTGTTCTGAAATTTTAAAAACGCTGTATTTAATTAATATATCTTAAAATAATAGTTTTTATGAATATTAACAGCTCATTCAGTTGTAAATAAAAATATCATGTACTGTATTTGACAGATTTCTACGAATGGAAAGCCACAGATAAGTTGAGAACCAATTAAACTGTGTGGTACCGTCTAAAATTCATGAAATTTATAAATTCTATTCGTGCGGCTCTGGCACATGGGATCATGACTACGCTCAATTCAGAAATGTACTTACAAAAGGAAAACATTCAATAACAGATTGTGCATATGAAAATGTTGCAAATGTATAATTTTCAATAAATCTTTTTTATAAAGAAAACAATCTTTCTTGTGAATAGCATTTTTTTTCTCAACTAACGTTCAAATAAATCATTGCAAATTTGTTAAATCAGGCTACACAAAGTTCACTAATATTTTACTGAGGTTGATTATTTGTTTATAGATTTATACTACTAATTCAAAAGACTTTACTCAAATTACATAAGATACACTTAACTCTTGGTATTCGCTGGTATTAGGTTTTTTAAATTCTCGTGAAAACCAAACAAAACGGCGAAACCGTATTTGGGACAAGACTATGTCTTGTAGACGGAATCACTTTGATGCTCAAGGCAGGCCTCATTCTCCTATCTTCTTTGATATCGCTGCTTTTGGGCCCGATCGTTCAAACTAACCTATTCAATTTCAAAATTTCTCTCCGTTGCGTGTCGGCCCGAGATAAATTTTCGTCGATGTATAACGAAAAGTTCCCGTTTTTGAAAATTTTTTATCGGTCCCACGATTTTACTACACTAGATAATGTTTAAAAAAACTCACTTGTAACGACATAAAACCCTGTTTTAATGGCATATTTGAAGCACTCCCAAATTTACAAAATTACATTAAAAATTTTATTTAACATAGAAGAAACTACGTGTTCAGTCCTAACGTCTAGAGTTCACTTCTTAGAATGACTGCGGGTGGTACTCTCCCCTACCTAACTTCGGTGGGGTGAGGTGGCTGTTTTGCCTGTTTGTAGAAGAGTGTCGCCATTTTGGATTTTATTTTGACTCGATTCTCGTTCCCCCGACTACCTACGAGTCTGGATTTTTTTATGCGCAAAAGATTTGGGCATCTAATACTCTGTGCCAAATATCAACTCTCGACATGTACTTCTTCATACCTCTATGCTGGTAAGAACATCGGGCAGTACGATTTTATAAACAAGACATAAGGATGCCTGTGGAGAAAATTGAGTTTGGTTTTGTGGAACATTTCAAAGATAAACGTTAATTGTCACCACAGTCAGAATTAATTTATTACGAAATTCTGACTGTGGTTATTTACACAATTCTGACTGTAGTGTATTTACACCACAGCCAGAATTGTTTGTCCAGCTTCTTGACATCACGAAGTAGCGACATCTCGTGGTAAAAAGCAGAACTACAGCTACGGAATCGTTCTGTAATTAGACGCCAGTGTACTAAACCGGTTACTACAGCTGAGTGCGGCAGCCATGACAGTTGAAGTAGACTCCATCTGTTGACTAAATTTAAATTAATGATAACAAAATATTTTGCAATTTAGATAAAATCAGGGAAGTTGTTTTGTTACATATACAATGTATCGAAATATATTGTGTAAAATTGATCTTAATTCTATTATATTATTTTATAAAATTACAATGTTTTTTTTTAGCAAAATTTTCTGAATTTTTAGAAAGATTTTACAAATGAAAAAATTATAATAATTTTATGATATAATAAAAATTAATTATAATAAATACGTATCGACATTACATTACATGTTAAGCATAAAGTTTTATAGTGAAATGCAAAATATATATTACACATACTGTATATCATATTTAAAAGAATAATGTGTATCACTGTCCTTTAAATATAATCATTTTTGTAAACATTTGTCTTAATTGTGTACCTCTAATCTTAATACTTTCCATTTGACACATATAGTTAATACGAATTATTAATACTCCAAATATATTTGCTATTTGTTCTATATTTTTTAAATCAATTATTAGACCAATTATTGGAATATTCCTTCTTCCTTTTTGAAGTGAAATAATCAATTCCTTTATTAATAATTTCCAAACATTGGTTTTTGTTTTTGTTTATGACTGGACTCTTTATCCATCTCCCCCCCATTGGGTGACAAGAATTAAGTAGGTCAAATATATCATTTATTTTTAACTTTAATTTCTTCTGTTGAAGGGTAATAAAACAAGTTTTTTAAATTTTCTACATCAAAGTTAATTCCCAATTCTTTATACATTAATGTAGTAGATCCATCACATGTTATTGCAATTAAATGAGCACCAACTGAATATAAATTTCTCTATATATTGTTTTACTAGATTGACTTTAACAGTGTTTTGTATTCCATTAATCAAACAGTAACCAAAGGTGTAAGATTGTTTCGTTTTGCCCGCTGACAAATTCAGGAGAGTTAAATGGCATGAATATTGTAGAAGAGATAAATGGAAACCAGCTGAGAATTTCAGGCTGTATGAGGTTACTGGATTAAACAATGTTAAAAATATAAATTTAAGAAGTGTTTATGTGTAATTTAACTAAATTTTTTAGATACAATTTGAGCGAATGGAAGAAAATTATTGAAATGGAATGCAATTCCCACCCTTTTTGAAACCTACTTAAAGCTTTTAATTATGTGTCAAGAGTAACTTCTAAATGAAAAAATACTGTATTTAAAATTATAAAAGGAATTCTGTGGCTCGAACTCGAAGGAACCTGCAATTTGCAGAAGATAGATAGCGTGAAATGTATGGAACTGCAGAACCAAAATGGCGACTCCATACGGAACATTGGTGTCCTGACCTTATGTTTATAAACCCTGGTCGATTTCCGTTTCTATTTTTCTATGTTTAACGTATATTTTTTAAACGTGTTTTTAGCACAGTTTTTAAATTAAATTAAATTCTATTATGTTTTAGTAAGTCATTTTAATTTATTGTTTTTTTTTCCCACAGACTTGCACATAACAGACGATCACATAACAGTTATAATAATGTTATATGAGAGTATCTATATATAAAAATTATAAAAATTTACGTTTTTTTATAATTTAACATGTGATATCTACGTTTATACAGCAATAAAAATTAATATCTTTTTTCGAATATGATTTTTTATAGTCGATATTTCATTTAATCCTTATCCTGCGGCAAATTAAGAGTAGAACTGCAAACAATATTAATATGCGTATTATTGTATTCTTTGAAGATTATATCGTTCTTCTCAGAAATAAATTCGTTTGAAGTAGACTTTTCTCTATTTCTTCCAAAAATAATTGATTGTAAAGCGAGAAATGGCGATTCGGTAACGAGAGAAATCACAAATGCCCAAACAAAGGATAAAACAATATGGCCTATTACCATATACATCTGAAAATATAAAATTTGCCTGTTGTAATTTATATCATTCAATAACTATTTCATAATAGTCTATTTCACTTACCCAAATAAAGTAAGTTGGATAAATTGTATCTCGTCTTTGAGCGTTGTATATCCACAATATTAACGGGTGAATAAGATACGTGCAATAAGAAACTCTACTAAAAGGCGTGAATAATTTACAACTAAGAAATTTACTTACGATTCCTGTTATGGAAGAAATGTCAATTAGTTTATTGCAATTCATATAAAATTTTCCGTAATTTGGAACAAATTTTACCTCCGTAACCGTACACAGACATTATTACAACCCAAGACACGCAGAGAGACCACACAGTTCGATTCGTGGATGCATAAAGAGCCGAGATCCAGGGTGATGGTTTATGACCTAAATTCCAATCTCTTGCAGAAAAGAATACTGCGGCACTACAGACACAAGTGCAGATCCATCCTAATGCTTGAATCCACTAAACATTTTACAAATAAATTAGTTGTATTCGTAAATACTAAATACAGTTTAAATCAAATTGTTTGAAAATTTAAAAAATTGCATTACTTTACTTAATTTTAGTTGAGGCTTCTTGACTAGTAAATAACCAGTTGCTAATCCAATGCAAAATGCTCCAACGTGGGGATATGGTTTGTAATATACTTTTGACCAATCGAGGAATCGATCACTAAAACGAATAATATTTTGCGAAAATTTAAATAAATATAGGCCTATATTATTACTTTTAAAAAATGTAATATTAAAAATCACCTCGAATTTGTATACGATGCGGTTAATGCAGTTGGAGGTAGCTTCATGTAGAGTGTTATAAACGCAGTTACTATCATTGATAGAATCAGTAATATGAAATTGATTATAAGTCCAAGAGTAGACCACCTAATTAGATTTATAGAGAGGAAAGACAGAATTAGTTTTTGATTTATCAATTAATACATAAGTGTAAACTGCGTAATCATTTTTTACCTAATGAGCGGTATTACTACTATTAATGATGCCATGTAAAGTTGTGTATCCGTTGCTAAGTACCAACTGTGATCTAGACACTAAATAAATAAAATTTCTCTATGAAATATTGTAATTATTTATTTAATTTAAAAATACTATTTTTGTGATATTAAATATTAAAATGAATATAATAAGTTATTATAATTGACTTGCATAATTCGAATTGATTNTAAAAATTAATTATAATAAATACGTATCGACATTACATTACATGTTAAGCATAAAGTTTTATAGTGAAATGCAAAATATATATTACACATACTGTATATCATATTTAAAAGAATAATGTGTATCACTGTCCTTTAAATATAATCATTTTTGTAAACATTTGTCTTAATTGTGTACCTCTAATCTTAATACTTTCCATTTGACACATATAGTTAATACGAATTATTAATACTCCAAATATATTTGCTATTTGTTCTATATTTTTTAAATCAATTATTAGACCAATTATTGGAATATTCCTTCTTCCTTTTTGAAGTGAAATAATCAATTCCTTTATTAATAATTTCCAAACATTGGTTTTTGTTTTTGTTTATGACTGGACTCTTTATCCATCTCCCCCCCATTGGGTGACAAGAATTAAGTAGGTCAAATATATCATTTATTTTTAACTTTAATTTCTTCTGTTGAAGGGTAATAAAACAAGTTTTTTAAATTTTCTACATCAAAGTTAATTCCCAATTCTTTATACATTAATGTAGTAGATCCATCACATGTTATTGCAATTAAATGAGCACCAACTGAATATAAATTTCTCTATATATTGTTTTACTAGATTGACTTTAACAGTGTTTTGTATTCCATTAATCAAACAGTAACCAAAGGTGTAAGATTGTTTCGTTTTGCCCGCTGACAAATTCAGGAGAGTTAAATGGCATGAATATTGTAGAAGAGATAAATGGAAACCAGCTGAGAATTTCAGGCTGTATGAGGTTACTGGATTAAACAATGTTAAAAATATAAATTTAAGAAATGTTTATGTGTAATTTAACTAAATTTTTTAGATACAATTTGAGCGAATGGAAGAAAATTATTGAAATGGAATGCAATTCCCACCCTTTTTGAAACCTACTTAAAGCTTTTAATTATGTGTCAAGAGTAACTTCTAAATGAAAAAATACTGTATTTAAAATTATAAAAGGAATTCTGTGGCTCGAACTCGAAGGAACCTGCAATTTGCAGAAGATAGATAGCGTGAAATGTATGGAACTGCAGAACCAAAATGGCGACTCCATACGGAACATTGGTGTCCTGACCTTATGTTTATAAACCCTGGTCGATTTCCGTTTCTATTTTTCTATGTTTAACGTATATTTTTTAAACGTGTTTTTAGCACAGTTTTTAAATTAAATTAAATTCTATTATGTTTTAGTAAGTCATTTTAATTTATTGTTTTTTTTTCCCACAGACTTGCACATAACAGACGATCACATAACAGTTATAATAATGTTATATGAGAGTATCTATATATAAAAATTATAAAAATTTACGTTTTTTTATAATTTAACATGTGATATCTACGTTTATACAGCAATAAAAATTAATATCTTTTTTCGAATATGATTTTTTATAGTCGATATTTCATTTAATCCTTATCCTGCGGCAAATTAAGAGTAGAACTGCAAACAATATTAATATGCGTATTATTGTATTCTTTGAAGATTATATCGTTCTTCTCAGAAATAAATTCGTTTGAAGTAGACTTTTCTCTATTTCTTCCAAAAATAATTGATTGTAAAGCGAGAAATGGCGATTCGGTAACGAGAGAAATCACAAATGCCCAAACAAAGGATAAAACAATATGGCCTATTACCATATACATCTGAAAATATAAAATTTGTCTGTTGTAATTAATATCGTTCAATAACTATTTCGTAATAGTCTATTTCACTTACCCAAATAAAGTAAGTTGGATAAATTGTATCTCGTCTTTGAGCGTTGTATATCCACAATATTAACGGGTGAATAAGATACGTGCAATAAGAAACTCTACTAAAAGGCGTGAATAATTTACAACTAAGAAATTTACTTACGATTCCTGTTATGGAAGAAATGTCAATTAGTTTATTGCAATTCATATAAAATTTTCCGTAATTTGGAACAAATTTTACCTCCGTAACCGTACACAGACATTATTACAACCCAAGACACGCAGAGAGACCACACAGTTCGATTCGTGGATGCATAAAGAGCCGAGATCCAGGGTGATGGTTTATGACCTAAATTCCAATCTCTTGCAGAAAAGAATACTGCGGCACTACAGACACAAGTGCAGATCCATCCTAATGCTTGAATCCACTAAACATTTTACAAATAAATTAGTTGTATTCGTAAATACTAAATACAGTTTAAATCAAATTGTTTGAAAATTTAAAAAATTGCATTACTTTACTTAATTTTAATTGAGGCTTCTTGACTAGTAAATAACCAGTTGCTAATCCAATGCAAAATGCTCCAACGTGGGGATATGGTTTGTAATATACTTTTGACCAATCGAGGAATCGATCACTAAAACGAATAATATTTTGCGAAAATTTAAATAAATATAGGCCTATATTATTACTTTTAAAAAATGTAATATTAAAAATCACCTCGAATTTGTATACGATGCGGTTAATGCAGTTGGAGGTAGCTTCATGTAGAGTGTTATAAACGCAGTTACTATCATTGATAGAATCAATAATGTGAAATTAATTACAAGTCCAAGAGTAGACCACCTAATTGTATTTATAGAGAGGAAAGACAGAATTAGTTTTTGATTTATCAATTAAATAATACATAATTGTAAACTGCGTAATTATTTTTTTACCTAATGAGCGGTATTACTACTATTAATGATGCCATGTAAAGTTGTGTATCCGTTGCTAAGTACCAACTGTGATCTAGACACTAAATAAATAAAATTTCTCTATGAAATATTGTAATTATTTATTTAATTTAAAAATACTATTTTTGTGATATTAAATATTAAAATGAATATAATAAGTTATTATAATTGACTTGCATAATTCGAATTGATTATAAAGGGAAGTAAAATAATGCAGAATGGAGATTATTTAATTTAGGCACAATTCACCAGCACTTTAATTTATTAATGTGAGTGTATAACCCATATTAATAAAATATGGGCATGTTGCGGGGTTTGTAATAAAACGTGGGTGAGGCATGTCTATGAAAGAACACGGATTAACAATGAGTGAATCCAAATTTAGTAATAGCATGTGTTTTTATAGTTGAGCCGTTTTTCCATTAGTTCTCAATTTTACTAAAGGCATACAACGTAAATACATTCTTCTAAAGATTAACTCATAAATTATGTATTTTTTATAATTCACTTTGAACATGTTTCCCAATTATACCAAGGATAATGATTCTGTTTCACACTTTTTGTGTGCTCAAGGATGCCGCTCAAGGAAAACTTCAACTATATCCTTAGATTAAACAAATCTGTAGATTATATCACTAAAATGATTCAATAATGAAAACGGTTTTTATTTTTATTTTAAAACTGTCAGTCTTTGCAATTAAATGCATACAGAATTCTTTTAGATATTGCTCTTTCTATATAAAATATACAAGTATAAATAATATAGTAGCGTTATATTGTTACGACAAATATATATTTATAACTCGGCCTTGTTTAAATTATCTAAATTTCAAGATTATATTTTAAAAATTCGATTTGAATAATTATTTATTAGTTTAATTCAAGTTCTAAGAAGGCCAGATTTAATCATACATTTTTGTTTTTAATGTTTAAATAGAAAATAATTATAATATGGAAAGCAATACTTTAACATAAGATAAAAAGAATTCTAAGTTAAATAAATGTTTAAAATTAATGAAAAAATTATCCTGAATTCAATTATATATTTGGATACGTAATCAAGAAGGACATAAGGTTACAGATTTAAAATAATTTGAATTGTTAATGCATTATGATTTATATATTGTCACCTTCCTGTATTAAATTTGTGGTTAATTCAGAATCAGTGGAGAGACACTCAGATGAAAACATATTAAACTGGTTAAGGTATCTTCCTTTAATCTGTGAATTAATGTACAAAAGTCTTTACATAGCAGTAGGACGAACGTCCGCACGTGTCGACAGACAGTAGTTCTAACAAAGGAACAGGTTAAGACAAAGGGTCATAAAACCTTTTGTTTGGTTATTGGGTAGGTCCCTCTAGTGGGTCAAATTGGTATGCGTCGAGAGTATCGACACCTCCCCTCAATTTGATATCACGGTGAACCTTCTATGGGTCCGATACCCATGTTGGCGACGCACGACCGGTGNACTCACGTGTAAAAAAGGTTCCGCTGTCGGGTTTGCTGGATCTCGGTTGATTTTCTTGTTTCTTCTTTTTACGACAATCTCGTTCTCTGTGGCCAGGTTTTTTGCAAAAATTACATCGCAGTTTCGATCCTTGATAACGGACGGTAAGCGCATCATTATTTTGCGATTCGCGGGAAGATCGTCCTTCGTATTCCTCAAAGATCTTAACTTTTAGGGTTTCGAGCTTCGGAAGGTCGTCTCTCGTTTCTATCGCAGTGCGAAATGTATTGAAACTGTTGGGTAAGCTGTATAGCAACAACACTGAGAGAAGTTCCTCGTTCACTATGATTCCCAAATCGGCTAGCTTATCAGCAGTGTCCAGGAATTTGGCGATGTGATCGTGCAGATCTCCTCCTTCATGTAGTTTCGTGAGAATTAAGGTCTTTATTAAGGAGGCCTTCTTCGCTGGTCCTTGAGACTGGTAAATCGATTTGAGTTTGTCCCAAATTTCTTTCGATGTGCTGCAGTTTCGTATATGTTTTAGCTCGGGCGGACTTAACATTAATATCAGACTCGATCTTGCTTTACGGTCGTTTTTTGTCCAGGCATCGTGTTCTAATCGAGACTCGGGATTACTGGCGATTATGGTGGGACAAGGTACCGCTCCGTTAGCGTATTCCCACACGCCATCTCTTTCGAGTAAGGCTTCAGCTTGAAGACTCCAAGTATCGTAATTTTCTCGATTTAATAACTCGATTTTGAATGAATTCATCATTGCGGATGCGAGGATCGATAGACCAAATAATAAAAGGCAAAAGATACGAACCAAGATGTAGAACTAGTTGAACGAAGATCTAGTTGTTCAGTTCAATTTCCTTGTAGTGTTAGTGTCTGGGCCCATAACCTGTGGTTAATTCAGAATCAGTGGAGAGACACTCAGATGAAAACATATTAAACTGGTTAAGGTATCTTCCTTTAATCTGTGAATTAATGTACAAAAGTCTTTACATAGCAGTAGGACGAACGTCCGCACGTGTCGACAGACAGTAGTTCTAACAAAGGAACAGGTTAAGACAAAGGGTCATAAAACCTTTTGTTTGGTTATTGGGTAGGTCCCTCTAGTGGGTCAAATTGGTATGCGTCGAGAGTATCGACAAAATTGAATGGCCTTACCCCGTTATGACTTTCGATAAAGTTATTAATAAATAATAAATTTCTCCACCATCCTTTACGGCATTTTTCGACTTCCGGATCAAGAGTTAAGTTCCAGACAGGTCCATCACCCAACAATGGTAAAACGAATAAAATTCCAATAACCACAGCGTACGTTGGTGTTAATCTGAAATATTGTTAAACCATTATATAAAAGTTTATTAAATTAATATCTTCTATATTATATTTTATGAAATTTAATAAATGATTTACCTGAAAAATCGATAGATGATGAAAACAGGAATATTAAACTTCTTTTTATGCTTTTTAACAAGAGTTATTGTGTTATAAGACACTAAGAAACCACTAAAATTTAAATTAAAAAAATTAAATGCCTTTATTTGTACATAAAATTTTTAACAAATAAATAGAATAATAAATTTTTACCTGATAAAGAAAAATGTATCCACCGAAAGTGTCCCATTGGCTACAAATTGATAAAAATAATCTTTAAAGAATTCTTTATAAATGAGTGCACCAGCTAAAAGAGGATAAAATATTAAATTAAAACGTGAAAAATATATATTTTCTACATATATTGAAATTATAAATTTGGTGTTAAAGAGTTAATTAAGAAGAAATAACTTACCTATAGACTGTGTGTCTACATACAAATGAGAATGGCAATAAATAATCCACGATATAGAAATGACTCTTAAACCATGAAGAACAGTTAACGTATCAGAAGATTTCTTACTAGAAAATAATTTCTGCACATTTGTATATAACGAGAAGCATAAAAATATTTTTTTCGTCAAACCTTACGTAAAAGAATGAATTTTTAACATTTAATAAAACGTTACTTAATACAGTAGAGTCCCGAAAACTCGGCCTAATGTGGACCAAAGGATGGCCGAGTTTGTGAAAATGCCGGGTTATCGGGAATGCGGTTAATTAAAAAAATAAGTATGAGTGTTTCCTCAGAAAATACTGTACTGTACTTGTATGTACTTGAGAATACAACAGAAACAAACTGCCCAAATACCCTTAAACAAGGGAAAAGTACGTCCTTTATGAAGGCATGGAGCCTTTACTACATGAAAATGAAAATTAATGAATACACTGTGTACAGTAATTTACCTGATAAGACAGACCTCATAAAAATACTTTATGAGGCATAAAGCTATCTATAATGAAAATTAATTAACTAAATTTTTTTTGCCCTGCCAGGGTCTGGCCGAGTTACCCGGACTGCCGGGTTTTCGAGACTCTACTGTATAAATTATATTGAAAAAGCAAAACAATAGAATATAATACAGAAAGAAGTGTATACAGTACATACTAGAATTCCGTTTTTTAACGTCATAATTACTTGTACGTCTTTGTAGTAAATCCATAATTGTACCAATTATCAAGAACACAATTAAACTCGAGAAGAAGATGCTAAAATATAAATATTTTATAATTACATTTAAAATGTTAATGTTTAATTAAAGTTCGATTATTTATTTTAATATTTATTTTACATTACAACTTCCTGTTCTGTATTCACAGTAACTGGAGCATCGCTGTCACAATGGCTAACTTTCACGATTCCTTCAATTCCAATGTTATTCAAAACTATATGATATATATATTTTTTCAATTTAAATTAAAATTTTTTTTATTATTGCTAAAAATTACAATAAAAACTTACATTTTTTAAAAACTATTTGAATATCTTTAGAATTGCAAGAAGAGGGAACACATATTCCATTTCTAAAAGTATGTTGGTTAAAAAGGTAAGAATTATTGGCCAAAAAACTCTGTACCTAAACGATATTATAATTTATTATAATAGAAAATAAGTTAATATATAAATTATATGATCTAAATATATATATATATACATACGGAATCTTTGTCGGTAATATTAAGAAAATCGGGAACTGTGTCGTAAGGTGAAATATCCTTTGCTACTGAAGGTGGAGGTAAAATATAATCGAGAATGCAATAACGTGGAGAAAAATTCTTCCAGTCTGTGTTAAAAGCCTTCTTTGTATCGTGAATAACATTTTTACATTCGTAATAAGATCCATAATCTGTTAAACTTCCTACCATGTATCCTGGTGTAATTTTACCCCACGAATCAAACACTAGGAATAGAAATTTTAGTTGATTATTTTATTATTTATATTGTATAATCTGTTAATTGTTATTTTAACTAAACAAATAAATCATGTTCTTAGAAAACAAGAAACAAATTTTTTTATTTATTGGTCTTTGGATGATGATATAACGAAACATCCCCGAAGTTAAGAGCGATGAATAGATTTGAAAGTATATATTACATTATATATGATATATTTCGATTGACTGACAACTTAGAATTGTAATTATCGAAGAGAAGTGTACAATTCTTAAACAAAGAAAGACCCAGGATCAGTAAACATCTAAGGATAATGACCGGAAATCGGAGTGTAATTAAACGACTCGATGGCCTTTCCTGTGTGTTCTTCTGCCCTGTTCAATGAAGACGTCTTCCTCTACTTTGCGGATCCGAAATATCCCACCTCTTTCTAATGATTTTGGCATTCTGTGTGAATGCCAAAATCGAGAATTGTACTTCGTCGGCATTCATCGAACTTGGCAATTAACCGAGGATCTTGTAAGAGTCTTCTTCTCTGATTCATTAGAAGATGGGTTGGATGGTGGTTGTTTGTCAGGCCCGTCTGAGGAATAGACAGAACAATACAAGTTGATAATACTTTCTGTTTAGATAGAATAATATCAAAACGTTCCTCAAGAAAACACAGAATCTTCTGAGGTATTTGAAAAGAAATGTCCTGCGATGCAAAATAGTCGTCCAGTCCAGATGATTTCAATGTTGTTTCGCTTGGAGATCGACGACGTTTATCAGCAGAAGTCATAGCCTTATATAGTATGCACTAGATACTTTTCTCTAAGAATCAAGGGCAAGGATATATGGTCTTAACTCATCAGCTCTTATTCCTAACGCAATACTATGCCAAGTAATATCGCTACATCACAACAATATTACACAAAACTACAATAAAATCATGCATAACATGTATAAGATGAGCGTAGATTAACAGAATAAGTGAAAAATAATAATATAAAAAAAAATTTCTTATTCATGCTGTTGTCCTTCTTATCTTGCGTGTGTAAATTACAAACTTCTTTCGGCAGTATTTAATCGACTGATATCTGAAGGTTTGTTAATGAAGGTCGTTAGAAAAACGAATTAAATAGATTATTTATAGGTGAATTTTAAATAATTTAGTAAAACAAGAGAAAATATATTCAATGTGGATTAGTTTCATAGAAAGAGAATAAAAACGCGTATTTTCCATACAGCAGGAAAGGCCAACAAGTCGATCTCGAAATTATTTTCTGTCCATTGAAGCAATGTTTACAATATTTAAAGTTTTCTTGATTAGTGTTTGCAATAACTTGTATTGTGTCAATTTATATACATAGGAGGAGTGGAAGATGGGATAATGTAACTCAATAGACGGTGTTCTGCCATGGGGTGCCTCCCTGGAGGATCTTCAATGAAAAACTGATCCCCTATTTAAATGTTAAATATGCGTAAAAAATCCCCAGAAAACTCCACAAGGATAGCCCATTTATCGGGCGCGAATCCATCACCAACTCTATCAGCTTCTTTAATTAAATATAGTGAACAGCATGAGTTAAAGATAAAATTATACTGCTATTAATTTAAAGACTTAATTATCACGAAATGCAGCAATGGTATGAATGAATATAAACGAAAGTGAGTGTAACGTGATTATTAATAACTGTATATGTGTTACTTTTCCAGCTATCTACAGAGGGAAAGTATGGCTAACAGTGAAAAAAAATGACCCATTAAGAGTTTTACTTTTATGGACTGGGTGACCTTGAATCGTCGAGAAATGCAAACCAGTTCCGGTTTCTTTCTAAATATGAATGATGTGTATGTGTGTTTTTATATTGGAGAAATAATTCTTTTAGCGACTTTCAAGCTTAATAACTACAATGCCTTTTATCAAAAATTTCTGAAATTTTATTAAAACAAATAAAAAATGCCGGAAAAGTTCACCAACTTTGCCTATTGATGAATCGATAGACATATGTAACACAGCCTACGTATTTATTATTATTTTTTTCTTTTATTGTTTGATGAATTTACAGCTAAATAATTTATTTATTTCTATATTTTCTTAAATTATACAAATAAATTTTTATTATTTATTGATAGATTAATACTTTACAAAGTGACATACTTTATCAAGATCATATATGAAAGTTGCTTTATATTAGAACAATCAACAAATATAGTTTATCATATTAAATAATATTAATATATTTGATTACCGAATACAAATAAATTAATTTAAGTATGTGAATAAGCATAATTATCTATCAAATTTACTTTATACAAAGTGAGGCAGTTAATTAGAACAAGTAGTACATAAGTTATAGTGTTAATTAAACAGATAAACTAACAAAACAATCTTTATTATAGAAACTTTAATTATTATTAATAATTATAATAATAATAATAATTATTATTATTATTTAATTAAATTGCTTTAATGTCGTTTTTTTTCTTATTAATACGTAACGGAAGAAGACATCAAATATGAGATAAAAGAAAATATTAAATTTGAAATAGAAACAGAGAAACAAAATAGTATTACAGTAGAGCGTCGTTTATCCGAAAGCTGGTTATCCGAAACGTCCGTTATCCGAAAGCATTCCAGTCGGCAAATTTAAATTTTCGCTAGTGCTGTGGCGCTGCAGTCTTCGGCTATTTCTCGGGCTACTCAAATATTTTACGTTTTTGATACTAAATTAACATCTGAAGTATAATTTTTTATTGTTTTTATATTTTTCAATATTTTTTGTTTTGTTGTNTAGAATCAATCTAATACCGGAAAAAGTACATACAACAATAAGCCATTTATGTTATAGAAATCATGAAAATTACGATATACTAGAAGAAAAAGGAGTTGTATATTCATTTAATTGTAGTTGTAAACCAGAAAAAATATATATAGGAGAAACGAAAAGGAAACTAAAAATAAGAATAAATGAACACATCCGAGCAATCAAGAGAAATTATGCAAATTCAGTAGTCGCAGAGCATTGTAATAATACAGGTTGTGAAATAGTATTGAATTCCATAAAAATAAAGAAAAACGAAAAGAATAATTATAAAAGACAACTTTATGAACATATTTATATAATCAGACAAAATAATAGAATAAACAGCAATAATGGCAGAGAAATCCACCAATTATGGCAAAGTTTCATAGACAAAGGGGTGATCCAAAAGATAAAAAGAACGATGGAAAGAAATGGAAACGAGGTGTGAGGCAAACAGAAAGAGAACAAATGTATAAAATTAAGATGATGTTAATAGAATTTGATTTAATACAGGTTTAAAATAATAGTAATTGTGATCTTGTTGATAAAACTTGAATATCCAGTGGAGCAAAAAATTAAGGAAAATTGTAAGAATTTTATTGAATATTTTTGTCGTAAATTTTAATAAAAATTTTTATTGTTTTATAGAACATATATAAATACCTGCTGAGGAGGGACGAATATGTCCGAAACGCAAAATTGTGTATGTGTCCAGATATACGTAATAAAATAAAAATTGTTTTCTGTTAATCTTTGTAATATTATTTATAAAACCAGTATAATAAGTCCTGATAATAGAAGATACGAATTTATAGTCGAAAATTTACATATTAATTATTATTATTATTATTATTATAATTATTAACATNTATTATATTAAATAATAATTATTATAATATAATTAATTTATATAAAATCTAAAGTAAACGAAATATTTTTATATAATTTTTATACTCACTTTTAAAAGCCCAAACTTTATTATTTTGTAAGTCGTATAGAAACTGTTTAAAAGATTCTTTACATTCTTGCTTAATATTTAATTCTTTTTCTAATCTCTTTAGTCTGGGTTTTAAGAATTTTGCGAGGAATTTCGTGAAATATCTCAAGTTCTCTAAAGTATTTAACCACATTTCTTTCACTTCTTCGTCATTTTTTATTATTTCCTCCGATGTAACTTCCGATATTAAGAAAGTTTGAGTAAATAAAAGTAACCAAATAAGAACTAACTTGAGAGCAATAGTCATGATTGTGTTTCCATTCGTTTTAAACAAATTAAAAACAACGCAATGAGAAACATCTATACTTTTATACTTCTTCATAAAAAAAATAACTGGCACGACGACAAGAACATGAGAACAGAGGGGGGAAAAACTCTGTACCCCTCCCTCTTATCGGCTTATCTGTCAGTGAATGGCTTATGTAGTAAACTAGTTGGAAAGGTAGCAAGGTCGAAACAAGGTGTCGGCCGTACTCGAGGATGACACATAATTAAACATTAGAATATTATAAGCTATAAAATTATACATACTGGTCGATAGATCTTCTAAGTTCTGGACCTTTCTCGGTCCCAAAATCATTTAAGTTAAACTAACCTTAATCTAGCTTATAACCGAGAGAGACCTGAGAGAGAGAGAGTTTACAAATGGTCTAAAATAATACCTCTGGGTTCCCGCTCTCGTTGTACAGGAAAAAACGTTCCTGGATCGGCGGAGTTTACCAGTAAGTAGTCTTCTTTCTATTCAGGTCAGGATCATCGAGAGAGAGACGGCGATTATGGAGGGGAGGCAAGGGTAGCGACGGACGGAATGGCGGTATGGATCTGGTGTCCCGGGTGATGTCCGCAGTTGATGTACTGTACGCCCGGAAGACTGTATCCAAGCCCTTTTTATACCCAAATAGGAAGTGTGTGGATGGGTTCGGTTCGGACTCCTTTCGTTCGTTTGATCTTTTGATATTTTCCTACAACGTCGTAGAAAGAATTCTTAATCATTATTATTTCTAATTATTCTCTTTGTTTTTCCACTTTCCCCTTTGGATGTAACAGAGTGTTTTCACCTAACGCGATTTACTTGAATCATTTTCGTTTTGTCTTGGAGGAAAAGTTCTTTTACAAAATTCGACGTTAAATAATAAGTAAATATGCTTAAGAGATTAAAAAAAAGTTAAGTATATAAATAAATAATATTATTTAAGAGTTAAAAAACATTATTTCTCAATCAACTACTCGCGATTTGTTGTCCTACTACAGTTGTCTTACGCTGTTAGATGCAAACTTCACGGATCCTTCAATCAGTCCTTTTCGAAGGTCTCTTTGGTTGTTCTCCATATACGTAAACCTTAGTCATCACAGGAGAGACAAAACAGGGATTTGTCACTAAAGAGAACATTATTTCAGTCGTCTTGTTCCATATGAGCCTCTCTCTGCACCATTTGACACTCGAATGTCGTTGCTTTTTCGTTAGAGATGGCTTCGTCTTGAGAACAAGGAAGTTGAAGTGCAAGTCCTGCAATCTTCGGCGTGTGGTTCGGCTACTAACATTCATTCCAGTTGCTCTCAATTGTGCATGCAAGTGTTTAATGCTCTTAAAGCGGTTTTGCACGACAATCCTTCTCAAGTTTCTCTCATCCCTCTCAGTCGTTACTCGTTTACATCCACGTTTCTGGCGTTTATTAGTTAAGACTTGAACACGGTTTTGTTTTTTCGGTACTCTAGAGACTGTTGGCTGCGAGCATTTTACATAATTCGCAATTTCTTTCTGTGTTCTTCCTATTTTGTAGGCCTACAAGGCTATGATAATATTTTTAGTTCTGTCACTGATGTCGCGCTTACGCCCCATGTTGTACTGTTATACTGATCTTCCCAGCAATAAGAAAATTTGCATTACAATTTAGTTTTTTTTTATGGCTATTTGTTTGGTTTGTTTTATTGTTAATTGATATCAGTGTTAATATTTAATTATAATCCATGGGCGCTTTGTCTGACGTGGACGTCATGTCATGTATTTGTCATGGGCGTTTCCTGATTGATGCGATCTATTTGTAAAATACTCCCAAAAATTAATTAAATAATTAAATTAAACTTTATTGGGGTAATATTACGAAACAAATGGAANCCAGGAGTTGCAATTTGTCACAGAGTATTAGGTGCCAAAATCACGCGCGCATAAAAAAAACCAGACTTGTAGGTAGTCAGGGGACCGAGAACCGAGGCAAAATAAAATACAAAATGGCGACACTCTCTACAAACAGCCAGTAGTGCGAGATTTATTCTATATATAAAAGTTAAAATAATTTATTATTATTTTTTACGTTTATATTTTTGAGTTTCTATTATATTTTTCCTGTTTAAACACTTACTTCAGGTGGTAATTTTGCTCTAGGCCAAAAGTTCTTAACCAGAGAAGTCCGTGAGCTTAGATTGAAAAAATTAACTCATTATCTTTATTCTCCATAACCTCTTACCGAAATTTAACATTTTATTCACTTATGAACGTATACAATAAATGAGGTAGTATTAATTGTATATGTGGTCATCAATAAAAACAATAGCTATTTTTATATCATATTACAGTTGTTGCATTTCTCGAAAATTGGCATGAAAACTGAGCCATGGAATCCTTTTCTTTTTGTATAAACTGTACCTGAGATGCTGACTTAACAAAAGAGGAACTTATTGATCTTAAGACAAAAAACTTACTACCGTTGTTACCATTTGCAACAATATAACTTTGAGGATCGAGAACGAAAAAGGTCAAGAACCTCCTACTGTAGGTTATAGATTCGAAACGGAATTACACCTAAATACATATGTATTTAGGTGTAATTCCGTTTTCAATTTATGCTAGAACGAACGGGGTTCTAGAACCAATGACGTTCGTTCTAGCAGACTTCACCGTTCTACTCCTACAACGATGCAGCGAGTTCTGTGTGTTACGATTAGGTCTAGAGCAAAGACAGGAAGCTGTGCTGTCAGACTGCTCATTCTCAGTGTTAACGACGTAAAGATATGTCCTTCTGTATAGTTAAGGTGTTTAAACACAGAGTTAAAAGAGTCTATTGTAAGACATTTATATCAGGATATTGCTTAAAAACGGTTGTCAACGCTGTTCATTCCCACACTTCAACTCATTTAGTGTAGTTCTCGAAACAGTATAAAAACGAGCTACGTGAATACGAATGGCACCGAACTGTACAACGTTTCGTGATGTAAAACTGTTCATATATTGTTTTTCCTTGTAACAACTCTGTGTATAATACATATCAAGGACGCTATTGTATACAAGGTCGCTATTATTTTATTTTTAAACCGAAGTGTTACACGTGGCATGGTCAAAGAGATAGAGTTAAATAAGCTACACGACAAGTACACGTGGCGTTTGTGATAACTGTATTGTTTATCTTCGATTTTACAGACTTCGAAATAATAAATTTCGGAAACAAAGGACCAAATTCGATGTTTCCAGGTAACTATCGAAATAGAATTAGAATGTTTGATTATTCCGTTTTATACGAATTCCATGTTGTACGAGTCACTTAGATTTTACAAATACTGTAGTTAGTCTAGTGTTATTTATTACGTCTTTCTTCATTACTCGAAATTAACAGAGACCAAGATTAAAACAGTTCACTTCATTTCTCCTATTTAACAATAACTAATTTATAAATCGAACAAATTTACATAAAATTATCTGTGTTTACAACAATAAACACCGTCCTAGATGGAAAACACTAATTAAAATTTTTATTAATTCATTAAAATCGTATTTATTAAAGCTACTTGTAATCTCTGGTTATGCGTTAATATGGCCAATCCCTGTATGTATGGATGTCAGTGTACGTGTTGTCTGGGTGGGTGGGTGTTTGGGACGATTTTGTTCATCCAGTTTGAAGCTTAATAACTTCTGTGCTTTTCGTCGAAATTTTACGAAATTTAGCAGGGAGATTTGCTTATTAAAGAGATTTAGGCTATTAAATTTCGGTAGTTAAAGGTCGAAGGGGTGTGAAGATATAGACTATAGAGGGTCAGGTATTATATCTCGAGTAGGGTCGAACTTAATGATGATTTTACTTGGCATTTACAATTTTTTAATAAACTTCTTTGCCATTTTATAATAATTAATTATATAAATGCGAGTTAATAAAATACAATAACTAATTATTTAAAATTACTGTACTGTATTTGTACTAATAACTCATTCAATATGGTCAATTTACAATATGCATGCAAGTTATATGCGGAGCTTTAGGAACTGTAGCTGTTTATCATTTTTCATTTAAATTTACAATTATTTTTCATATTTGAATTACGACAGGAATCCCAGAACAAAATTTGGTTGTAAAGAAAAAACTACCTTTACATAAAACATATACAGTGTATGGGGCCGTCTATTAATTATTGTGAGATCCAGCCTGGGCTACAGGGTAGTTTGTTACGCCTGTATCACCTAATAGGCAACCGGTCGGTGAGACCAGTCTCAGTCGTCCAAAGAACGGCCTTTCCCAGACTTAGGGAAACGAGTGTGGAGGGTCTTACAGTTAATATTTTAAGCGGAAATTGGTGATAGCGAATTCACCTCCTTCCTTATGTCAGGGTCCCGACACCAGTTTATCTACTTTGCGTAACGCGGATAAACACGCGTGAAATTTATACCGTAGATCTGATTCAGGAAATAATAATACAGAGACATCTCTTAACAAAGTATATAAAATTTAATAAACAAATAAACAATATTAATACAGAATAAGAAATAATCAATTAATTCAAACGGTCAATCAAATAACGAATAATCAAATCAATCGCGACAGGAGGAAATCTATTCCTAATCTATACCGAGTCGAGAGAGAGTAGTATTCTCAATCTATACATTTACGAGAGAGAGAGCTCACAATTTAGTCTTAAACATACGACCTGTTTACTTGGCAGTGTCGTCTTCTTATTCGTGAAGGTACTTCATTGATAACTTAGGAGTAGCTTGTTAGAGGATAAAGTAGCTTGTTAGAGGATGATGGTCTGCTGGCATATCTGTGTGGAGTCCTTTCATTCTCCGATCTACAGACGAACTCTTAAGGGCGTTGGCCTTAGAGAACAATTGAATGGAGTCTTGTCACTTTCAGAACTGTCGACGAACTCCTAAGGGCGGTGTGGAGCCAATATGGGAGACGTCTCTCCTCTATGAGATTTTCTGACGAACTCCCCGAATTCGGTTGAACTTCGCATATATTGTATCTTCTGATTTACGACCAATTATCAGTCGAGGTTTTATCCACGTGAACGGATGGGAAGGGTGAAGAACGGAGGGGTAAACAGTTTCCATCGAAGCGAGATTTTTAGCAGATAAGGGAAAAACAGAGAATGCTCATACTTCCGTCAAAGGAAGTGACTCTCCTAGCTGTTTTCCCACGCTAAAAAACGTTATTTTTCCATAAAAATAAAAGAATATTTTTCGGGAAAGATTTTACTTTCCTTTTAAATTATTATTTTAGACCCGGGGGGCTATTCGGATCTCACATTATGTATTCAGTTTAAGTGAAGGTTGAAACCAGAACTGCATATTTAAAAATAAATTATTTTCAAGGTCCAACATGGCAGTAAAACTTACAGGGAGCTATGAGGTAGTCTTAGCCAGTAGTGTCCATATGCGATATATTTAATATCTTTTCACTTTCATCATGTAAACTTATGCTACTTATATAAAATCGCACTGCCTGATGTGTTACCAGCTTAGAGGTATGAAGGAGTACATGCCAGGAGTTGCAATTTGTCACAGAGTATTAGGTGCCAAAATCACGCGCGCATAAAAAAAACCAGACTTGTAGGTAGTCAGGGGACCGAGAACCGAGTCAAAATAAGATACAAAATGGCACACTCTCTACAAACAGTCAGTAGTGCGAGATTTGCAAATGTGATAAATTCTCATAAGAAACAGGACAAAGCTTGGTACTTTATTCGATGAATCCTGAATCACATAGAGTTAAAAACACTCAGATACATTTAAGCACCTGCTCAAGCTATAATTTGCTATCGCGACACAAACAGAAACATCTTAACTCCAGCTAATTAAAAATCCGGATGGCTTACGTGTGTTTTGAAATTAATACAGCAATTTCAAAAACACTAGGGTTAATTTAACAATTGAATCATCAAAGAACAGATTGCTTGCTAAACAAGCGATCAGTAGGAAAAATCTTAGCTGTTCGCTGTATGAACCCGAACCTAAACTAATTAGAGATGCGGTACAAAGAGTTTGCCACCAAAGGTATAAGAAGCGACAAGAAGAGCATAAAGATTGTGCAGTACTGTTAATGGAAATTGAAGAACAGAGTAGCTGTGAAAAAACATTAACTACTGTGTAAATTAGGTAATACAGTAGACCCCCCCATAACACTGTTGATAATACGGAATTATCAAGTGTTATAGGGGGGTCTACTGTAAATGGTTTTTTAAATTTGTAATTATAACAGCATGAATGTACTATGATAAAGTATTTATAATTACAATTTAATCATGAATTTTTCTGGGTTTTTCCCATTCAGACCCAAGTTTTTTTCCATTAAGTTCTTCCCTACTCGAGATATGAGATGTACCTCTCTATTTACCCACCCTCGTCTTTTAACCACCTAAATTCCCTTAATACACAAACCTTTCTTCCAAATTTTTGACGAAAGGCACAGGAGTTATTAAGTCTTAAACAGGATGAACATAATCGCGCCCCCACACACTATAAATATATATACAGAAATAAACCCCCGAATTTTTTTTCATAGAGAATCTTGAGAAGTCGTAATGCGTTGTAATCTATTTTTTTCGCTCAATGAGCATTTTTAGAAAAAAAATTAAAGATTTTAAAGCTCGACATGGAGGAATTTTACGAAAGTGAGTTGGCAACGTTACTCGCTCTTCATCCAATTTGGCTTTTGAACACGTGCGGCTGGATGTAGCGTGCTTGAACTTTTATTGTGTTTACTGTTTATGATAATATACAGTTTATCCTTCGAGATTCATAGAAGAATTTGCAGTTTACCATGTAAGTATAAATAAAACATTATTCGTTATAGTATATTATATAGAAAAATAATAATAATTTAATATATCCATCGAAAATAAGGGGTTCGTAAGAGTGCTGTTTTAGGTTCACGTATAAATGTAGTGTTACAATGCAGAGTTACAAGTCATATTGTTTAAAATTTATTTAAAAACCCAAAGAATATTTATAAAATGTTAAAATAAGTTGAAAATATATATTTAAAAAAAAAGAAGATTTTTCTTAATACAATAAAATGTTTTTAATACATTATATTAATGCTGTACTTAATCACCAACATTCCTGGCATGTCCATTTTGAAAATATTCTTTTACAAATTTTCCTTTTTCATTATTTACATGACTTATATTAATCTTCGTGTGTCTTTTAAATAAAATCTTTTCCATTGAGCAAAAAGGTAATTCGAATAAAACACTAAATATAAATGCTGCAGTGTATGAAAGGACAATATGACTGATGTACCTATATAACTGTATAAAAATATAAATATTTTAGAGAAATTAATTAATAATTGTGGTTAAATTTACCTTAGGTAGCCAAAATGGCGGCTCGTTTCTGATTCGAGCAAACAAAAGAAAGAAAACAGTGGGGATGCACGTTCTAACCTAACCTAACCTAACCTAATAAATTACCATAATTATTACCAACCAAATTATTAGAATAGGTTAGGTTAGAACGTGCGTCCCCACTGTTTCCTTTCTTTTGTTTGCTGGAATCAGAGATGAGCCGCCATTTTGGCTACCTAATGTAAATCTAACCATAATTGTAATAATAATATAATAAAAATGATCAACTTACAATAAAATAATGACTGTAGTAAAATCGTTCACGTGTCAAACCAACAAAACTCCATAGCATGAAAGGATGAAGAAGGAATGCCAAATAAGTTAATCTGCTTAATGGTATTAACATTTTACAACATAGAAATGTGTTTATTATACCTGAAAAATGTATTGTATCTTTTATAATATAACGTAATTTATATAAAAAAAAAATTACAACGTCGATAATACCTGCTTGGCCAGATTCGCATACTATAACTACCCATGCAACAGCGCTAGTCCATGCTGTTCTATGAAGGGCAGCATACAATGCTGAAGTAAAACTTGATGGTAAATTACCTCTATTCCAATCGTATACACCTAACAATACTAACAAAGCACACGATGCAGATAAAAGCCAACCTATCATCAACGTTACCTAAAATTAATGTACAGTATTTATGAAAATATCATTTTTAATTAACGTTTTTTATTCTTAAATTATATATAATCTGTTTACCTTGTTAAAAGAATTAGTTTTATTTGTAAAAAGTTTATAACCTAGCAATAATCCTATACAGTAAGCTCCCATATGGGGATAAACAGTAAAGTATACATCGGATTTCATTTCCATTCTTGCTCTGAAATGTTTTAAAATATCGTTTATTTTAAGAAATTATTTAATTATTTGATCACGAATTGATTTTATTTAAATATATAACTTACTCTCCGTCTGGATGAACGTGCAATTCTGTCGGAGGATAATCATTTATGTAAGTAACAATGCCACTTATTGCTGTACCAATGACAACTAATAACATTATAATGATTTTTCCAAGACGTATTCTTCCACTAAAAATAATAAAATAATTTAAACAAATTTGTAATACGATAGGCCCTATACAAATCTTTACTCGTATCATTCCAACCAGGATTTAAAACCACTTGTATTATATTATAATGTGCCCAGTATGATTGCCTTCAACTTCAACGTTCTTTTCATCATAAAATAATGTGCTCAGTATGATTGACTTCAACATTCTTTGCATGATATTGAAGGAAACTGATTGCATGTTCTTAAAATTAGTCATTTAGACTTTTTTTCTATGGACATAACTCAAGAATAATGTGTATAAAACCAACCTAAAACAGTAAGATTCGCATGCCTTTCGTTCAGTAGACTTTGAAGGTAAGTTTTGAATCATCGCATAGAAGTTGAGAAAAGATAAATAAATATAACTTAATTATCTAAAACTTACCTAAAAGTCGGTATAAAATATAATAGAGAGAGAAAATGGAATTGCATATCAACTGGTAGGAACCAAGAATGTGGTAAACACTATAAAAAGTAGCAAAATGATTAACTTCTATTAAAAATTAAAAAAAAAAAAAAGATAAAATAAAAATATAAATAAACCTGATGGCTTGGAACAATTATATTATTAAGATACATTAAATTGGTCCACCAGTAATTTCGGCAATCTTCTGCTAAAGTTACAATACATTCTTTCCAAGCCGGTCCCGATCCAATTAAAGGTAACAATAAAGTTAAACATATTACAAGCATACAAGAAGGAGTTAATCTGAGGAAAGAATATAAAATAAAGAAAATGTTTAATGTTATTGAATTAAATAAATAAATAAATTAATTAAAATTCTTACCTCCAAAATCGATGAAACAAAAACATAGGAATATTGAATTTTATTTTGTGTATTACATTTTTAAAAGTCATAAAAGAAGTTAATATTCCACTAAAAATTAATTAAATTTATCGAATTATTTTATTTTTTTTTATGATATAAAATTAAATTTATACATTTTAATTATCTTACCTGAGAAAATAAAATGTATCGACAGAAACTGTACCATTAGAAATTACTTGAAACCACAAATCTTTGATACTTTCTCTAAGATATTTGACGTTGCCTAATAAATATATTTTATAATTATATATATAATTTTTTAAATATTAATTACTAAAAATTATATGCGATAAAGTAAACACAAGTAAAGTAAACAAATTCAACTTGTTAAATATGAATTTGTTTATTGTGTTTACAATATTATTGTTTGTTGTTTGAATTAAGTTATGTTATTTATAACTAGCAGGTAGGCCCGGCGTTGCTCGGGCAAAAGTAACGATAGCGAAGATATAGATTATTACGTTATAGTCAACCTTACCCGTTTTCACAGAATGCAAAAATTGGATCCCCCGTTTCCAGACTAATTAGAGAATTTTTAGATGGGTCTAAAAATATCTTTAATTTCCTGCAAAAACGAAAACCAACTGCACTTTCTCTTAAAACGTCGCTTTCTCTTAACAATTCCGTTGTTACGTAACACGTCCATTGTTGACACTTCCATTGTTGACACTCCCATTGTTACTTAACACTTCTATTGTTGCTTAACAGTAACAATACTTTTATTGTAACTTAACAGCTTAATCCTGTCCCTCTCCCTCTAGGGGGGGCATTTCGAAAAATCCCTTCTTAGTGTGCGTTTTCGTGACGTACCCTAACTATGCACCAAATTTCAGCTTCCAACTCCTAACCGTTTGGGCTCTGCGCTGATTATTATTATTATCAACTCGATTTAGCACCACAATTTGTTCATCTATGAAACCGGCTCCAAATTAGGCACTAAATCGAAGTACTTTAATGAGATATATACTGTAGTAATGAGATCTACATAAAAATTTGAAATTCGTGTTATTTGACAACAACATTGTTGTTTGTAAGGCATTTAGCAAATTACAGCTACCGAAAAAATCTTTTAGGGGCATATTTATGACGACTATCCAATTCGCGAGTATTCATCAATACTGTGTCGATGTTGACTACTATTCAATTCTTTACCTGTTTAATGCTTCCATTATTTGCAGATCCACTTCAAGATTCATTGGACCTTGAACAGATACTATTGATATATATGTACCAACTTCTAATTTATTGGTAATCCCCTTTATAACATTTCTCTTGCAGCCCAATGCTTTTGCTACCTGCATGATTCTTTCTATTTCTGCATCCCTGTCTATTATATTTTCGCAGTATAAAAAAGCCCTCCTAACTAGTGCTCGAAATACTGCTAATTTATATCTATAAGGATCATTGAAGCTTGCAGGTATATATAGTGGGCTATGTGTTGGTTTAATAAATACACCGGTAGATATACGTCCCTCTCTAAATATAATATTAATTAATGTCCAAAAAATGTACCATATCGTGTATTTTGGTTTATGTATTCTTAGTGTTAAACATCCATAGGAGTAGTGCACTTATTCTAATAAAAAACAAGGGGAGAAAGTCCGTGTAGTGGGTTCTTTCTCTTGCGCCGGGCTAGCAGGTGGGCCCGGCGTTGCTCGGGCAAAAGTAACGATAACTAAGATAAAGATTATTACGTTACAGTCAACCTTACCCGTTTTCACAGAATGCAAAAATTGGGTCCCCTTGTTTCCAGACTAATTATAGAATTTTTAGATGGGTCTAAAAATATGTTCGATTTCCCGCAAAAACGAAAAAAACTGCATCTGCGTATTGCACGTCGCTTTCTCTTAACAATTCCATTGTTACTTAACACTTCCATTGTTACTTAACACTTCCATTGTTACTTAACACTTCCATTGTTACTTAGCACTTCCATTGTTACTTAACACTTCCATTGTTGATGGAAGTGTTAAGCCTTAATCCTGTCCCTCTCCCCCGTGGGGAGGAATTTCGAAAAATCCCTTCTTAGTGTGCGTTCTCCTAACGTACCCTAACTGTGTACCAAATTTCAACTTTCAACTCCTAACCGTTTGGGCTCGTATCCATAATGTATATAGAAGTTTTAATCCTGTCTCTCTCCCCCGGGGGGAATTTCGAAAATCCCTTCTTAGTGTGCGTTTTCATGACGTACCCTATCTGTGTACCAAATTTCAACTTTCAACTCCTAACCGTTTGGGCTCTGCGCTTATTATTATTATTATCATTATCCCGTCTCGATTATATATTAGATGAGTTTAAATTAATATAATCTTTTATTTATCATTGTTTTATTTGTGTATGCTTTGTATACTTGGCATGTTGAGGTACTAAATACAGTACAACATGGAACATGTAGAAATAACAAACTTTAATGACATTAAGTCCTACATTACTGGAGGTACACACGATCTCCCTTATCTCCCCACCCCCGTCGACCTTTAATAATCAAAATTTAATAGCATAAATGCACCTAATACACACAAATCTCTCTTTAAAATTTCAGAAATTTTTTAGGAAAAACACAGGAGTTATTAAATTTATAATGTAAGGAAAACTCCTTACATTATAAACTTAATAACTCCTGTGTTTTTATTATGCCAGAAGGAATTTGAGTCGATCCCCGCCTTGTATGTACTCAAACGTAATTAGTGTACTGCTGAGTTATTTCTACGTACAAAACAGTAGTTAATAGTGTTAAATGTTAAATTATCGTCGAGTACAGTTTACTATATTTTATGTATTTATTTGATGCAATTGAGACTACATTGAAATATGCATTTATTTTACTTAATTAATGATTTAAAAATAAGTAAAAAGTCATTTAACTTATAAAATAAACATACCACTTACCATATAAACCTAAATTATTGTATAAGTACGTATGACATAATATTATCCATAACATTGTGAAGACACGAATGCCATGCAACACGGGAATTCCATCAGAATCAGAAACATTAAAAATCTTCTTTCCATTTGATATAATCGAAAAACATCGAATAATTTGTACATATTTCACTAAAAATAATTAATATAAATAATTTTAAAACTGAAAATAATTGGTTTATTAGACAGGTTGCGGCCGACGTTTTCAACACGTAAACGTGTACGTCGGACGTTCAGCGCCACCTTCCTGTAAGCCTAGAAGTTTGACAATGACGTTTGGAACGTCGAGAATGATTCCACTGACGTTCCAAACGCCATTGTCAAACGTCTAGGCTTACAGGAAGGAGGCACTGAACGTCCGAAGTACACGTTGAAAACATCGGCCGCAACCTCTCTATTATTTCTTCAATATTCTTTAAAATCTGTGGCATCAAAATACTGTAAATATGTTTAAAAGTTTTCAATATTTTCACCTGTTTTTTTTTACTTTTAAATTTTAATTACTTACATCTTGAATCTTTCCAAGTACCTAAAGCCTTGATTTCATTATTATCCTTTGTTAAATGAACGTCCAACCACGAACCGATGATGGTAACTAAAAATAGCACTCCAAGCACAAATCTTAAAGTATTTTTATTAAAAAAAAGAAAAATACGAAGATTTTAAAATATTCTCGTGTGAATTCTCTATACTTACATTGCACAGATTTGATCTGTGGATAATTTAAAAATTTCTTTAATCTCGCAATTAGTTACTTCTGGATATAAATCGGTAAAAGGCGTAACTAAAAATCGATATAATTAATATTTTAATAAGAAAAATTACTATTTATATATTATAAGATTTAATTTTATTAACTAACTTGTATTGGCTAATTGTTGAACGTCTTGTTTTAAACAAGTAGATGGTAAACAAATGCTCCATCGAAATGGTTCACTGTAGAAATATTGTGCCATTTGAGAAATGTGTCCTATTACCTGATAAATCAAAATTTCTTTATAAATTATACGAAGAATTTTTAATTTAAAATCATATAAAATTTGCTATTATAATCAATATTTTTACTATAAAGTAATAAAATTCTTTTGGCTTCGAGTTCATGCCTTATGTACTGTACTTTCTATTAGTAAAGAAGTTAAATCAATAGCCTTAAATTAATCGTAATAAATAATATTTACTTAACTGTTTCCTTATCAATAAATTGTCTTAATTCTTTAACATGTTGATAGATTGGATAGAATCGTGGTTTAGGAGGTAATGGAGGATAAATGTGCAATGTACAGTATTGACCTTTTATAGTTTGTCCAGAATCTTTAATATGAAGTACATCAATACATTGATCGTACGCTCCCAGATCAGCGAATCCTCCTTGCAGTATTCCATTAGGAAATTTAGAAGTAGCATCTAACACTATAAAGTTTTATAATTAATTAATTGAAAATAATTTTAAATTTATATTTCAATAATGAAGATATAAACTTTGTTAAGCTATAAAATAATTATAAAATGTTTTCAGTGATAAGGTTAAAGTCTTATTATATATTTTAAGTTGTTAGTTAAACAATAGCAATGAAAATTAGCAATTTGGAGTTTCACATTCTCCAATTCGTTAGTACCATTAAAGTATTTAGCTTAATTCTAAACGATATATCTTCCATTTAGGGAGTTTCCTCAATACAGTGGTATACCTTAACTGGAATTATATCCCTCCACTGTTTTCTCTTCATAATATATTCTTACATTTTAATCATCATAAGTCTATATGGGTACATGTTCATTCATATTTTCCACTGGCATTAGTAATCGCGTATGTCTAATACCTATATAGAGGTGAGTTTTCACAGAAAGTCCTCTTGGAAGGCACTCAAACCCCTTGGTAGATCGTCGAATCCGTAATGGTCGAAAAAAAAAGAAGTCTTCGTAAGAATAAAGCTGAATTAGAGCTCAAGTGTCATTCACAAACTATCCTCCGGGTATCTTCAAGAAGCGAATCATCTACAATATGCCAAAAGAAAGAGCAAATCACCTTTAATAACAATGCATATGGTGAGCTATTGGAGTTTATTAGGCGCATATGGCCTGGATCGAAAAGTGGATGGACCGGATGAATATCAATGATATTAGAGAGATACCAGGGAAGAAGTGGAAGCGACAACTTGGTGGTGAATCCATAATGATTTGTGCTACAATTTCATGGGGAGGAAATTCTGACATCATGATTGTTGATAGTCGCATAAAGACTAGGGATTACTAGCAGATGCTTCAAGAGTATCTCCTCCCAGTTGCAGAGAAACTTGGAAGCGATAGATGGATACAGTCGACCCCCGTATAAGATCATTGATTATTCCGTTTTATATGAATTCCATGTTGTACGAGTCACTTAAATTTTACAAATACGTGAGCCGTTCACAGCCCGGTACATGTATTTGTAAAATGTAAGTGACTCGTACAACATGGAATTCATATAAAACGGAATAATCAATGATCTTATAGGGGGGTCGATGTATTTCAACAAGATAAGCATCCAAAAATGATTTGAAGACTACAATGTTGATGTTATTACGTGGTCACCAAGAAGTCCCCATCTTAATCCGATTGAAAACCTCTTGTCACATCTATCCAAGATGATATACCATGGTGTCCGGCAATTTCAGGACATCAGTTTACTCAAGATCGGCATCACTTTTCATTTTATCACAACTATTAATCAGGAGACTCTTCTATCAACATATTCCCTAACTCTTTACCTCCTTACAAAGGGTAATAACCTAATTAATAATGCTCGTCCTTCACCTTAAAAATTGCCTCTTTTCAATGTCAAAATTCCTATTTTCTATAACGACAAGAAAAATTCTGATAACAACCGAATTATTTTATAAAACAAGCATTAAAAAAACTAAAATAACAATGAGAATAAGTTATAAAAATGTTTAATTTAATCAAATAGTTATTTATAAATTACTATTATTATATATATAGGTCCTATATTTAAAAATAGGAAATCCAAATATATATTTTATAACTGTGTACTCATTATAAGAAGGTTTTTGAACTGTAGAAAAGACATTTAATCATGGTGATTGAAGTTAAGATAATTTAACAATAGTTTAAAAATAAGTTAATCCACTTGAAAATGAATTAATTTTAACCATTAATCTTAATAGTTTATGGTTTATTTTGGTTATAATCTTAAAAATTAATGTGATTTTTTAATAAAAATTCATAAAAATAGTTATGATTTTAAATTATTTTAATAAATTTTTTATACTTTATGGGTGAGAATTGCTTACATTTTTAAAGAATTGAATATTTTACACTGACAGTTTCCTCCTGGGAACAGTAGGAATGAGAGGAAATATATACTTTTATCACCAGTTAAAAGTACATATTTTCCCTTAAAAAAGTATAAAAAAAAACATCCAATTTAATGTAATAATTTAATAATATAAATAAAATATGCATTCAAGTGTAAGTGATGATGTATATAAATACACAGGTTATGCTTTAACTTATCATAGTAAATAGATATAAAATTATACTAAAAAATAAATAATAAATAAAATTTATAAAAATTCTTACTGTTTATTTTATTATTAACTATTTAATAGTTCTTTTACTAAATAAAAACAAGTATTTTTTTTAATTTTTAAAGTCAAATTAATGTGTTTTAAAAGTACTTACTCATGACAGCCCATGTCTTTAATTGTCTTAATTCTTTCATATAATGATCCAAATCAATTTTGCATCCTTCAGAAACATTAAAATTGTTTTTATCCATTAAAAATTTCAAATTATCCAACAAATTATTGATGATATACTTGAATTTATCTTCCATCTTCTTCCATGTGTTTACAATGTCTTCATTATAAACATTATTATTATTTTCTATACGATTATGACCGGAACAAATAATTATTATATTTAAAAGAATAAAAAATGCTGTATAAAATCCTTTCATATCTGTTTTCAGTAGGAGAGAGACTTTCCTTTACTTGATGTGATTCGAGTTGTTCCAGTTATATAACTCGTTGAGGTACCTCTTAACAAGTGATTAAATAGGGCAACTAAATTAAATTTCCCTTTCTACTTAACAATTTTTACGGAGGATAAATGTGCAATGTACAGTATTGACCTTTTATAGTTTGTCCAGAATCTTTAATATGAAGTACATCAATACATTGATCGTACGCTCCCAGATCAGCGAATCCTCCTTGCAGTATTCCATTAGGAAATTTAGAAGTAGCATCTAACACTATAAAGTTTTATAATTAATTAATTGAAAATAATTTTAAATTTATATTTCAATAATGAAGATATAAACTTTGTTAAGCCATAAAATAATTATAAAATGTTTTAAGTGATAAGGTTAAAGTCTTATTATATATTTTAAGTTGTTAGTTAAACAATAGCAATGAAAATTAGCAATTTGGAGTTTCACATTCTCCAATTCGTTAGTACCATTAAAGTATTTAGCTTAATTCTAAACGATATATCTTCCATTTAGGGAGTTTCCTCAATACAGTGGTATACCTTAACTGGAATTATATCCCTCCACTGTTTTCTCTTCATAATATATTCTTACATTTTAATCATCATAAGTCTATATGGGTACATGTTCATTCATATTTTCCACTGGCATTAGTAATCGCGTATGTCTAATACCTATATAGAGGTGAGTTTTCACAGAAAGTCCTCTNTAGTAAAATACTTTTATTTAAGTATTGTTTTATAAAAGTGGATATTAAGAGGTTAACAACACGGAAATCTATATAAATATAATTAAACACGTGCTTGACTAAATATATATACAGTATAAACAGGTAGAAGTTGCTAGCATTTTATAGACAAATCTTTACTTTCTTTTCGTAAATGGTATAAATTTTCGTATTAAATTTATATATAGATAAATATCGTGAGATAGTACGGTGGGAATCGCTAAATACTGTCGCCACGTGGAGTTTTTCATATATTCTTCAAGTTTTTAACACCTAAATAGGTGTTACTTTCCCATAGAAAGCCCCTCTTGAAGTGTACTTAGAAAAGAGATCATGCATTACTAAAAATTAACATTTAGAGTGAAAAACCAGATTGTATTTCCTGAAAGACCTACAAAAAAAGTTGAAGGAGAAGGCAAAAATAAGCGAAGAAACAATAAAAATTGAATTATTTTCAATTATTTAATGAAGCAACAATTGATCGAAATAAGTAACAAAATACTATTATTGTTTCTGGACATTAAATGAATTTAATAACTCGATATTCTCTTACATCACTTCTATTTACTTCAAATGTATTAATATTATTATTTGCTTTGTGTTTTTTAATGTGTGGACTTTATACAGAACTCGTCTTTGATTTTTCTTCTACGTTTATTAACAGGTAAGTCGTTTTTTTAAATTTGGTTCAAAAACTACGTATAAAATACATTACAACAATACACTTTCTTTCGTAGATTTTACGATTTCAAATTACTTTCATTGCTGTTTTCTTGGATTGGTATCTTACTAATAATTGTTTTTATGTACGGTTTAATTGTTTTTATAATGTCTACAAGAAACGACGATTTACATTATAAAAAAGTAGCTAAAGAAAAGCGTATACAAGCTGAAAGATTCCTTTTCTCTTATATTTTTGTGGAATTGACTGTTTTTTTATTCTTACCTGGAGGGGTTATATATTGTTTTAATGATATAAATTTAGTAGAAAGTCGATTTGAAGCGGCTCTTCGATACGGTATGAAATATTACAAGAAAGATAGAAATCTAAAATTTCAAATCCAATACATTCAAAGGATTTATGATTGTTGTGGTTCTAAAGACTTTACTGGTTGGTTTCGTGTTTCGTGGATGTCCTCGAAGTATGTCGATACTGATAGACCCAATACGAGTAAAGCGTAAGTGTTACATTATCTTAATTTGAATAATTAAATAAATTGTGTATAATTTATTAAAATATCTCGTGTAAAACTTAACTATAAACATTATGAATTGAGGCATAAACGTACATCAAAGGTGCATTACAATGATACACTTAGCTTTTTGAATTTGTAATTGCGTATGGACATAAATTACTTATAGGAAAGTATACGGGATAATAATAAAATCTCGATCCATTTTTTTGTGAAAATGGTAACAGAATCACTTGTATGCAGATCATATGAAATCTGCTGATTCAAGAAGTGAGAATTGCTATTGTTTGGGAATGTTTTGGTGGATGAAGTATAGACAAACTTCGTCCAGAAATTCAGGATGTCTGCTCCGAAAGGGATAATATCAGGCTGTTGGTTAACAAATTCAGGCGAACGGATGACTTAAACGATGCAAAACGTTCCATAATATCGGACGAAATGGTTCAACGAGCAGAAACTGCAATAACACAGAGTCTACGTCATTAAGAGCCGGGTGTTCACTGTGACACAACCGTCATTGTGGGAGATGCTTCATTATAAACTCATAAAATAAGCATAGCATGTCCTGGTGTAACATAAGCTGGGGGAGACAAAAATGAACTATGCCACTTGCCAAGCAATGTATCGCGATTTCTTGAAAGGTATGGAACAGGAGGATTTTATAGTACATGATCTTGTTACCATGTAAGGTTTTCAGGTTTTTCACGTGTCTAATACCCAAGTAAGTCCAATTTTCCATTAAAGTCTTCAAGGGAGGCATCTTTCCTTGGCAGATCTCCCATGTGTTTGTTGCATTACCTTATCCCATCAAATGAAACCACAAATTTTTATGAGTGAGTTGATATGGAGCCGTATTCTGGTCACTGTCTCTGGTCTCTCGTCTCTTGCAAGCCGGTCGCTGATTGGCTAATCATTTGGATTAGCCAATCAACAATCGGCTTACGAGAGACCAGAGACAGTGACCAGAATATGGCCCATGGACTCGTGGGCATCCATCCTTAACTTTCATTATGGGCTTGACCGAACTCACGCTAGTTACTGAAAGCATACACAGTATTTTCCTTTGATATTTTAATTAATAAAATATTTTACAGATTATTCAAGAATAGCGATTATTACTTGGATGATGTTCCAATATCTTGTTGCAATATATATTCTAAGAAGCCGTGTTTTAATCAATTCATAAATACGGAAATTGCACAAAATTATTCGTTGGTTATTAATCAAATTGGATGCAAAGAAGTTCTAACGAAGTATTACTTTAATACTGTATTAAAATTAGCGCTAATATTCATTGCCGTGGAATTATTAACTGTAATAATTTATATACAGTTTAATTCTAAATTATATTGAAATTATTTATATCGTATTTATTCCTTTATATTTCAGTTAGTTCAAGTCATTATAAGTTATCAACTGTACTATTATTTTAAATTGCTACTGGATAAGAAATCGGAGAAGACTTGTAGAATAATATTAATTAATTAAAGAAATTCATAACAGAGATTGAAACTTTATACATTTACTTAACCCCATAATACTCATATTGCACATTATGACGATATTCCAACACATTATATACAATACGTGCTTTGTACTCCATTGTATTCCTGTGTACAGTATACCCCCTATAACACTGTAGATAATTCCGTGTTATATGAGTTCCATGTTGTACGAGTCACTTAGATTTTACAAATATGTGCGCCGGGCTGTGAACGGCTCACGTATTTGTAAAATCTAAGTGACTCGTACAACATGAAATTCATATAACACGGAATTATCTACAGTGTTATAGGGAGGTCTACTGTATTCCATTGTAATAATGGAATGGGAACTTGTAATAATATATATGTAATTGTACACAATTCCATTGCAGTAGATTCTGATTTAAATTCTATAAATATTCCTTAATAAATATATTGAGGAATATTTATTATCTCGTATTACAAAACTCATTCATATATGTCGCCATCTGTTGGTCTTGAAAGAAATTAGTTATTCCTAATTAATGTTTAAATTCGATGCTGTTTATTAATTTTTTATTTAATTAAAAAAATTATTTACTGTTGCGTTACAATTTCATATTTCATATTCAATTAAAATTTTCTTTTAAAAAATAATAATTAACATTTGTGAAATATTTCTAAAATTTATTAGTGTCGCCATCTTTCGAGCCAAAAAGAAATTTATATGAAAATATTTCAATTATAGCTTGTAATTCATTTCAAATAATTACAATTAATAATCATAATAATTTAGAAAAAAAATCTAATGTTTTTATTGAAATATAAACTTAGTTTTATTATAATTTACTGTAAATTTACGTTATATTCAATAATTATACAATATATATATATATATATACACATATAAATCCAGTGTTCATCTATTAATAAACATTTAATAAGTAATTAAACAATGAATCAATTGATGATAATTAATATGTCATAATTACATTTCTATTAATTACTATGTCATTTCCTTTTAATGATGATATCTTACAACCAACCATTTGATAGAAGGTCCTAATGATCTTTCTCCTCTAATTAACCTTTATCTGCTTAAATTATTATCAATATTCTAAATGAACAAAGTTTTTATTCTCTAATATCAAACGTTACTTCTCAACTACCATCCTGTTACGTCACACATATACCATTTTATTAATTACGTGTATAACGTACTATACAAGACAGTGTATCTACGTGCGAATTCTCATTCTCTTTTAAATACACATCTAAAACACTGATTCTAATAGTGATCACTACAGTGGTTCTTTATCCTATGGGCAAATATGATGTAGAGTACAGTGATTACACCAAAATAATGTATAGTATTACCTAATGAAATCCCCAATTATGCATGCTCTTATAATTGCTGACGATCTTCCATTAATGAAAAGTGTTCTTTGTTTTCAAGTTTGATGTCAACAAGAGACGGCACTCACTATTTCTCGTGGGAATAGGAGGGAAACGGGGAGAAACAGTCAATTGATTTTCTATTTCTGCTAATTAGATGATTTAGCAAACGGTACTTGTCAGATTTGGCCATTTGTCTTTAGATTTTGCTATATTTCAAGGCAGATAGCGATATGGTGACTTTTTCATGTCTAATACATTTTTGATGGAAACTGTATTTTTTCCTTCTAATAGAAAGAATTGAACGAGGAATTTTTATCATAGTATCATCCATGGTAACAAAATACCTTAAGTACCCTTTCAGAATCCTATTATACATCATGGTATATTGGAATCAATATAAAGAGATTAATAATTATTATTTTTTATTGTAATGTATTATTTCGATTGCAAAAATATTCGTCATTTTGCTCCCTTACAACATGGATCTCACTATCTCCCAGTGGTTAAAACCACTGAACTCCTAACGTGGAGTTTTCTGGACTTTTCTCGCGTGTCTAAAATCTAAACAGGGGGCATGCTTCCTATATAAAGATCTCTTAAGTGTTATTTTGCCGTATTCCATCAAACCAAACCCCTAGCAACAAGAGATTCTAACTATCATAAATCAATAAATCAATTTTTAATAATAATTATTAAAATCTTACAATGATATTGAATGTAAAAACTGCATTACTTGCCATTATTTGTTTTATTTCTTTTCATATTTTCAAAATTCTATATAAAGTAAAAGGATTTAAAAATCAATCCCTGTTGATCCCATTCTTTTTATCACCCTTACTTATCACTTTCCAACCCTTTCCATCTGATTATTTCTTTATATATATATCCTATATTATCCAATAGTAAACTTATTGATCTTTTGCAGATCCTGATATACCAGTTGGTAAACACACAGTTCCTTTTTTAAATAAAAATAAAAAATTTTCTATATTATTAATCATTATAAAATGACAAAAAGCTTAATTTTAGGGGTAGGGATGAGTTTTATAAAAAATTGTAAATGATAATAACGAGTAAAATCGTCATTAAGTCCGACCCTACTGGAGATACACACGACTCCCTTTATCTCCCTACCCTTTCTACCTTTAACTACCAAAATTTAACGTCATCAATACCCCTAATGTGCAAACTTTCCTGCAAAATTTCAAAAATTTTCAACAAAAGGCACAGGAGTTATTAAGCTTCAAACAGGATACGCTGGCACACAAACATGGTTACACATGTACGCATTACTACTATAAAATTTAATAAATAATTTTAAAGACTATTTAAGGCTTTAAATACAAATATATTTTTTTATTTAAAACAGATATAAAATTAAATTTAAGTAAAGAAAAAAAATCATTTTAAAATTTATTGCTTACTCCATGAATTTATTTAAATAGTATAAAAGCTATTTTTTTTATTATTATAAAATTAATCCTATTAATTTTTCACTTTTAGAATATTTATTATTTGACCTTTAAGATAATAATTTACTTTTTATTCTTTCAAAAAATAATAAAAAAATCGTTTAGAAAGTTTGCGGATAAATAAATAGCTTTTGTGACAAGATAAATCGGGAGATAACTTCGGCATCAAATTTAACTATTATCAGTTTTCGAGATGGGATTTTATTTTGTATCAGTTTTATATAGAAAATATATATTTATTTTATAAGAATTTATGCTCGCCACCTTAAATTAGTAGTGGCTTGCCTCTGTACATCATACTTTTCCTTTAACAATACTGTCGCGCCAGTCTTCTGACACCATTCGGGGGAAATTGCTTGAATTGAAATTACGCGATTTTCCAGTCTATTTATAGTTAATCTGGACCTTCTACTCCTGCTCTTTCTATATCTGGACTCGGCTTTCATCTGTCTAACTCCGTTCTCGAGATTAAGGACGGACAGTCAGACAGATGGAATAAGATATACGTTTTGCCTCGAATATACTATTTCGATTTTCGATAAAGTTTACTTCAAAATTAAGGCTCTAGGAGGAAATTTAGCGTTTATTTATCCTTAATTTGAATATTACATAAGCTTTCTAACGAATTCCGGGAGTGCAAATGGATGACATGGAATGTGGAATTGACAATTGCATCAAAAATGGGACAATGTACCTTCCATTTCCATGCTCGTAAAGTTGCATTCGCTGCATTTTACGACTTTTTATACCCTAAATTCAGTAGAAAACGTACGAGATAGTCGCATTTAGGAGACAGCAGCGCTAAATTTTCCCTAGCGGCTGGATTTTAAAGACAAAAAATATTTTCCTGAAAATCGATACAGCATACGTTACGCACTATATATACCAAATTTAGTTGAGATTTGCCTGCTAGTACTTTCTACAGAGACCACTGAACAGCTGCAATTAATTATGATTACCCTGTATGCAAATACAATTTGACTCATTCCATTTAATGACTCCTGTATGAAAACATTTGTAAATAATAATAAATTATTACTTGAAAATTAAAATCATTAATTTATTTACGATATTTTTTTAATTATACAGTGTGTAAATTTAATTAATTATTGATATATAAAGTAAGGAGAATCACGAGTTTAATCATTCGTAACACCGTATTACTGAATACAGGTAGAAGATCCAGAAAATTTTATCAAAATTCTACAGATTTCATGAAAAATTTTTTACAATTGATAATCATTTTAAATGAAATTTAAATTTTGCGTATAGATTTTTATGTTTTAACCACGTTACCATGAAAATTCCATTCGTTTTTCAGTCCAAAGTTTAATGTCAATCGTATGAAGACGTGAGGATCTTGAAAAACAAATATTGCAATATTATCAGGTGTATGTTTTAAACCATACAAATTATATATTATAAATAGATGGCCATCCTCCATGGCATCCATAAAGGCCATAAAGGCTTCAAAATCTATGATTTTGAAGCCTTTATGGCCATGGCTTCAAAATATATGATTTTGAAGCCATGGAGAATGGCCTTTGAAGCCTTTGAAGCTATAGAGGATGGCCTTTGAAGATTCTGAAGCCACAGAGTTTACAAACCATGAGGTTAAATATCTTCCATGGCTTCAAAATTTATGATTTTGAAGCCATGGAATGATCTTCAAATGGAAGACGTAACCTTAAGATTTTGAAGACATAGTAGAAAAATAGAAATGTATATTATTCTATTAGTTCTTATGCAATAAAATTCGTAAAAAAATGATGATAACGTTGGCAAATCTTAAATTATAATGTTTTTCTTTTTTTAATTTCAAGCATTAGAAAATAATATGAGATATTCATCGTATACAACAATAAATCGCGAAAAGTTTTTGAAAATATACATTAAAACCACCAAATTAAAGTAGCTAGACATGCAAACAATCTACTAAATTTATTTGATTTGTTTACTGGAATTTCATAGCTACTAAATCGTCTTTTGTGATGGGGATTATGAATGAATAGAGGACACCATCAAACTTTTGATGAAGTTTTCTATCTTGTTTTGATTTATTATATTATGCAGTAATCTGGCAAGGAAAAAAAAAGAAAAAATAGTAAAGTGAAAGCCATTAACGTTGAGAAAAAAAACATAAAGAAAACGCCAAGATTTGCAGTTATTTATCAGTTTTTTTAAGATAGAAAAATAAAGAAGAATTATTGAAAAATCGTGATCTATGATTTATGTACATTATTTATAAATAATTCTTTTTTCCTTCATGTTACAAGCAGTTCTTTAACTTTTACTTTATACTTCATGAAAGATGAATAGATCTTTCTGTTATTTAGCATTTTTAGTAAGATTTGAATCTTAAAGTATCGATAAAAAGACATTTTTAAAATTATTTTTCCATAAATTATAAACATTTTTTTTTTGCAATTGATTAATAGCCAAGACTGTATTTTATTTCTGTGATTTTTTTACTTGTGTTTTCCTGTAATTTCACGTAACATTTACGTGAACTTCCAGGAGAGAAACCTTACACGAAAATAACGTAACGAGAGCATTGCAATACGCGGGTAATCTGCCAAATAATGGTACTGTACCTCCCGGAAGGACTTTTGTGGAGTAACCTGTCCTAATTAGGTGTTAGATAAGTGAAAAAAAACCATACCTGGGCCGCCTTCGTGTGGTTAACACGTAAATAGAGTCCGATTTTCAATAGAAAGTCCTTCCAGAAGGCACCCAGTCCTTGGAAGATCATCACTTGAGTGGTACAATGTGTTGTGTTATCGTATTCCATAAACTAACCTTTACCTAAGAAATAAATTTAGTGATGTAATGCCTGCGGTTTCTATTTATGTTATTAGTTCTACTGTAATAATTTAAAATTTCGTTTTGGCATATAATGGCTTTGGTGTTAAATTTCTCTGTGTCTGTTTAATATGTCCTGTAGCTCTCTGAAATTTTTAGTGTAAAAAGCTTTTGGGCATTAAGAGATTTTACAGCTGTACTTTTCTAAAGTGTGTTCCCACGAGGAAACGGCATAAAATCGATCTTCTGTATCGCTGTCGAAAATATGAGTTTACCTGCACAAGGACCTATTCTCCGAGTGTTTTTAGCTCATCTAATTAATTATTTGCTATCATTTTTGCTTTACCTATCTGTATTGGACGTGTTGATATGGCAACAATTTGGAAAACTTGTAGACCTGTAAATTCCACTGTCTGTCTGCCTGGCTTTCCTTAATCTGAAACTTGGGGTCTTCACCAACAAGGGACCCAAACCAATCTTTTATAAGAAAATACTTCCCCCTAAAACATTTCCCCGAAAGAAAATATCTGAAATCAACAATATATATATACACGAGACCCCTAATTTAAATTTGCATGAGCGCCCATAAAGCTATAACGAGCTACTGATCACCCTGCATATATACTTGTGCATGATATATAGTTTAATTTACTGTTTTATTACTTTATAAATAGTACTTTTAATCATTTAGTAAAAGTTTTATTATCTATAAATAAATACTTTCTTTAATGTAAATGCGACAGAGTATATTTTTTTTACATAAAAAGTAAAAGAAAGTGTTTTTACACATGATAAAATAGTAGAAATTATTATTATTTATAATAAATAAGATAGAAATGTATTAAATACAATAGTGTAATATAAGTAAGTAGTTATATTGTTGTACTATTCTGTAACCGTTAAGGGGACTAAAGCCGTTTTATTAATTGTACAAATCCAATTTTCGTAATCGTATAACGTGTCTGGAGGACATGAACGAACTTTTCCATGCCAATTTTCACACTGAAGATAGAGGCTCGAGTTCGTATAAGGAAACATCCCACTTCGTTGTGTACAGTTCTTATCAATTTCTGGCTGAGCTGTTGTAATTCTTGTTCTTGATCCGGTACCTAAAAAAAGGAATAAAATCACAATAATTTACTTTACAATTTAAAAAAAAAAAAGCAATAAATTCCATGTTATAAACTTACTGTTATCGCAATTTGCATTTTCGGGATAATCGCATTGTTCTTTATCTTCATTATAATGAAGGCTCGCTGGACAGTTATGCAAATAAGGAATGTAATTAGAACATTGATAAAATGTGCTACAATCGGCAGGATTTTTAAATAATCCATTAGCTGTTGGGCATTCGAATGGATTTAGAGTAGGTGAAGGTGTAGTAATTAAACACATAACTCTGTCTTCAAAATCGCAATTTTCAAGAATGGGATTGAATAATTCTCCATCTTCACATTTTCTTTCGAATAATTCATTATCTAAACATAAATAATACGTTTTACAATCCGTGGCACTGGGTAATAAACAACAACTGCATGGGCAACTTGTAATTGAAGACCATTGATTTCGCTTTATAATAGTCGCCGAATTTACAAATCTTATTGCAAAATAACCTGAAATAATAATAAAATATTTTATTAATAAATGAAATTTTAATGTAAATTAATTAATTAACGAGTGACATACGATATTTCTAAGTACAAAGTTTATTCAGTTATATAAAGTCTCATTTATTAGACTAAATATTTTCGTTATTTAAGTTCAAAGTAGATGTTAAATATAAACAAACTTTTGTTTATCATTTAATAAAATTATAAAATAAAAATGTTATTTTGAATTTTATTAACGCATCAGAGCAATTACTAAACAGAAATTATCATAAATTTCATAATATTCAAGCGATAAAATAGCAAATTAGCATTGATATTACCCAAGAATTGTCATTAAAATAAATTATCAGGAGCGATAAGGAAACATAAAAAATAAAAAAAAAAACTATTTTAAAAATAAAAAACGAAACTATTTACACATAAATTACTAAATAATTAATTAATCTTTAAAAATAAATTAATTTTTACGTAAAAAAAATCATTAAAAATTTGAATGATGTAAGAACACTTGTATTAAATTCTAATTATCTTATTATAATTATACCATTGTTTTAACACGTAAAAGAAGGGTAAAAATTTAATAAAGTACCAAGCTATTTTCTAGATCAGTTTTATTGAAAATTTCCTATCGAGTTGTTAATAATGGTTACTGGAAAACACTGTTAAAGCTTTATTGACTACCTCCTGGATAATGTCAATGACATTGCTATGATCTCCTGCTAAGGAAAGTATCTTATCACTTTTTTTTTATTATTATTTATTTATTTATGAAAGTTTTCATTCAATTCACTCAATTTTCTAACCTTTTCAACAGATTTTCATTAATTAAATCCATACCAAATAACACTAACGTTGAAAACACAAAAAAAACCCGCTTATTAATATGTAAATGTAATAAAATCCTACCCCAATTTATATTAAATTAATTAATTTTTTAAAGTACGAAATAAATATGAAGTTAAAGCAATAAAAACAATTTATTTTAATTATTATTATATAGATTTTATTATTTAATAAACGACTGAAAAAAAAATATATATATTTTTTTTCCCTTCTTTTTAAATGAATTAATTGCTTTAAATGGTGTAAAAATTATTATAATAATTAACTAAATTAATTAATTGATTTGTTTATTATATTCTAAGTTTAATTAAATTAAAGAAAATTAAAATATATATCAAGTCATTCGATAGAACGTGTAATTTTATCATAAAACGACACGTCGTTTAGGGAATTTTCTTTAAAAAAATTTCCCTTCAACCCCTTAAAAAAATCAACAATATATCACATTAAATAAATCCTTATTTAATTGATATTAATAGCAATTAACTACTGTAATTAATAATACAAATCTCTGGTAAATATCAATTAACTTATTAATCATTAAAACTTTTATCAGTTTTACTTAATTAAAATATTAATAAACAATTAAGCTTAGAGAGAAACAGAGAGTTTAATTAATTATTAAAGTTATTCGATTAATTAATTGATTTATTTTTTATAATATAGTATTAAGTATATATATTAAGAATTTCAAGTGAAAATCAACCAACCTAGTAATGCAAGATGTACAGTAATAACGAGAAGGATACGAGAGAGCATGATGTACTGTACGTTCAATCAATTCAATATACAATTGTGTGTTATCTAGAAATGGTTTAATCAATTTATAGTAAGGTAATTTCAACTGATAAAACTCTTATCAATACTGTTCAAATTTAATGACAATCGTGGTATCAAAGCATATTTGTTAATTTATAAACTCGGATTTTCCTATTTTACTATGATAATTCGTTTTATATCGATAAAATTTCCTGATATTTTTCACTTTATAATCTCTTGAAAGCTTGCAGATTACACCAGTCGATCCCCACTATAACACTGTTGATAATTCCGTTTTATATGAATTCCATGTTGTACGAGTCACTTAGATTTTACAAATACCTATGCTGGGCTGTGAACGGCTCACGTATTTGTAAAATCTAAGTGACTCGTACAACATGAAATTCATATAAAACGGAATTATCAACAGTATTATAGGGGGGTCGACTTGTAATCATATTACAATTCTATTTGATTATAGTAATATTACACGTCGATTTGTCGTTATAAATCAATGTTTAATTGGTAAAAATCAAGATATATATATAGCAATTTCTATGTATTAGAAGTATACGTGTTTCTTTGTTTATTACAAATACTTATTCTGTTTATTACAAGTAAACACTTTCTATATTTCTGTTTATTACGAGCAAATAGGCTTACTTTCTACGTTTTCTGTTCATTTTAATCGATCACTTTTTATATTTTTATGTACTAAATACAAGCACTTTTATGTTTTATGAGTTATAAAAACAATTACCTTTACATTTTCGGACAATTTTTTGAAAAAGATTTGAGTCTTGTGGACACTAAGACGGTGTTTTTTTTTTTTACATTCATTTCCACAATGAGAATTAATGAAAAAAAAAGGCCCTCTTAGTGCCCACATCGTAAGAATGAATGGCCCCGTTGTAGGCCAGGCCTGCAATGGGAGAGGGCCCTACGTATCCATAAAGATTCCTAGAGTTTTTCCATTGCCATGCTTTCGATTCCGAATCTCCCAGAGCGGTATGCTTAACCTTAATCATATTGCCCATTCGCCCTTATTATTTTTGGCAATTATAACTAATTTTACGTGTTATACTTGCTGTTAAAAAAGTAAATTTGTTATCCAACACACACTATTATAAAGTTAACGTTGTAATATAAATCTACACACGTTTAAATAATTAAGCAGTCGATTATTATAATTAAAAATAGATTTTATTTTGTAAAATATATCCGAATGATTCCTGGAATTATCTAGTTAAACGGCCTGTAAAAATAATTAAATCATTGATTAAATTTTTCCGTTTCTAGGAATTCTAATGATAATTAACTATCGCATTACAACATTATCATTTCGATTATTTTTAAAATGTTTTATCTAATTCGTGAACTAGCGCATGATATTATTAAAAATAAATCTGGAAGTTAANTATATATATATATAATTTTAATCTTGTTACTGAATTATTTATATATACTGTACATTACTCCACTAGATGGCAGAATGTTTATTTCAGTATCAAATATAACACCATAACTCCTATATATAATCAATATTACTGAGAAAAATCACAAATAAATGATAAAAAATAAAGTTTATCAATCTTGCATCGCATCATTACTAATGCTAAAAAATTCAGGTGATGATCCTCCTCCTCCTCCTCCTTCACCTTTTCCTCCTTCTCCTCCTTCTCCTTTTTCCTCCTCCTCCTCCGCATCCTCATCTTCAATTGCGCGTAAGTTAAACAAGCTTCAGCTTAAGGCCTCGTGTTTTAAGTCTATAGTTTAGGGCCTTGCATTTTTACGTATATTTGATAAAGGAGAAAGGCCTGTTCGCCCTGTAGTCTAAGTTATAACATAAATTCAGCTGTGAATCGAATTTAGATTTGTTGCAGCTTTATTTATTAGAGGAAGAAAAGCATCTTATAATACATTTTAAAATGTCAGGCCCTAAATTTTACATTGTTTAGCTTAAATATATATATATATATATATGTTATTACAATAATAGATGAAAATTAAGTAAACTTTTATATTTAAATATAAATTACTTATGTAATAACTGAATTAGAAATTCTATATTACTAGGGTATATGTTAAAATAACTTGCAATATACTTAGAAATAGAGCCATATATTATCTTTCCTGGATCCGTTCTGTATGTTTGTACTACGTAAATTATCTATCTGTTTTAATTTATTTAAAATACTTTCGAATTCTAATCTCTAATGAAAGCTGCAATTTATAAAATTGATAATAAATAAGTTTAAAATTCGTTAAATTATTATTTAAATCGGTCCAGAAGTTAGTTAACCAAAGATTCGGTTGCCTGATTTATGGGCCAGCCTACAAGTCTTTGTTCAATAATAATGTTTATAATTTACTGTCAGAAATAATAGAAATGGAAGTAAAATTATGTGCATTTTATATTGAAAATATTCCATAAAAAATTGTAGTTTTTTTTTATTGAATAAATATTTAAATTAAGAATAAAATGGGGGAAAAATCTATCAAATTTATACCTTTAAAAGCGGCTGTAAATAAATTTTATTTACTAAAATTGAATTCAAAACAAGCTTTTAAATAACCGAAATACTTTAAATTCACTAATTAAATTCTGTAAATTACCTTTCTGAAATTCTATGCAATATTACAAAGGTATTTATTAATTAATTTTATCGCGTTACATTCTTGTATTTTGAGTGAATTGTTTTCGTGTTTGTTACGAAAATTCATATTTTAATATATTTTTAATACACTGTTCACTGTAAAAAAAAAAAAAAAGCTTTAATAGGGTCGAGTGGATACTTCTATTACATTTTATTACATTAAATGCATCTTCTGTACTGTAAATGACAAAATATCCTTTCTGTTTGAAATATTGTGTAGTGTTAAATCATATACACAACATCAAAACAGTCATTTTGAGATAAAAAAAAAATGTAAGTAGATTTTAAACTGTAGAAAATGTGCTGAAAGAATTGAGATGATGCGTTAGAATATGTCGATATTTTCCAATTGTGACGTGAAGTGAGAAGATACAGGATTGGTGTGCTCTTGTAACGGATATTGCAAATTCTCAAAATGTCACAGTATACTGTATTTTATAAAAAAAATTACTTTCTTATAGAATAAATGCAATTGGACCTTCCCCAACAGTTCCCCCTCCTCCTCCCCTTCCTTCTCTTCCCCATTCCCCCACCTCTTCCCCATTCCTTCTCCCCTCCTCTTCTTGTATACAGACTTCATTACTGTATATAATTTCAGTTTAGTCCTACACTCGATTTAATGCCAACAGATGACTGTACTAAATACTGTGTAGAGTAAAATATATTTAATTAATGTTACATGTATATAATTATATTCGAGACGAGTATTTAGATAAAATAATTATAGTCTTTTTTTTATTACATTTCTAGTAAAAAAATTTGTTTTCTTTCATCTTTACATGGTATCAACTTACATAAGTATATAACGAAATGATGATCTACTCTATCATTTTTCTAAGTTTTATCTACCGAAATTATAGTTATTTTTCTATATTTTTACGATCATTACCAGAAACAAAACGACTGTAACATTCTCTTAAACTTTTTATTTGCAATATTAAAGTATGACAGAGAAGTTGATAATAATAATAATAATAAAACGATTGTAAGAGATGAAAACTTACCTGAAAAGCTAGTATAATGGTGAATAATACTTGATATTGCGGCCGAAGTTTTCATCTCTCAAACGTCGAGCGCCACTTACAAGATAGCGGCTCGACGTTCGACGTTCACGTTCGAGATGAAAACTTTGGCCTTAACCTCGCTTCATTAATAAATAATTAAAATGCTAATAATTTCATTATTACAATTTAGAAACGAAGATAATGCAAATTATTTAGGGATATCTCTTTACATAAAAGCCCTACATACAGTTTCATCTTCAAGGCCAAATTTTAAATGAGGGTCAATAGAAGTCATTGGCCTCGGTTCATCGGTTGTCTGTCCGATAAAGGATCAATAATATTCTTAGAAATAACTGATTTTGAATCGTTATATATGTATATAAACATAAGTCATATACCTGATACCTCGTTGCTGTAGGAAAAGTTAGATAATATACCTATTTAAATTACAGAAAGGGTGGAAGTTAAAAACTTTAATATAAAGAAAATCAAATAAATAAAGGAAGAAAGCTTTGTTTTTATTACGAAAATAGTGCAGAATCCGAAAATATTTACATACAAGATAAACCGAAATACAACATTATTACATTAGTTATATATACACACATATATATAAATATATATATATATGTACACATTTATATATTAATTACCGATTTTTTTATTATTTAAACCGCTTTACAATAAATTTTCTGTCCGTATAAGAGAGTGACTTAATTACAAATCCGAGTAAACACACAACTGTACACAAAGATTTGTTGTTGTTGTTGTTAACACTTCAAATAATTAGAATACATAAAGAATTGATGATAAAGTAGTACAACCCGTACAAATATAAGACACTGAATGTCACAGTTTACAAAGGATTATGCAATTTTTTTTTTTAACTTTTTTTTACTATAAAATATCTGCAAATAAATCTTTATTTCTACAATAATTTGATGTATTTGAGGATTTAAGTGTGAAAATTTAAGTGATTTGAATAGAAAAATCTGGTATATGAAGAGGAAATGAATAAAGAAATTATAATAATAGTCTGTTTAGAAAGATAAATTACATATATTTTTTTAAATTCAATTTGATGATGGAATTACACAGAAATTGGATTTTGATGAAGGTAAGTGCATTTCATAATATCAAATTCGGTTTAGAAAAAGATTAATTTCTTTATTATTTCTTGTGATTTAGAAAAAGGTAATTTGCATTTTGTATTCATTTATTATGATTCTAACATTATTACTTACATTAAAAAAAAAATAAAACTGAAACCAAAGTAAATTTATAAGTTAAAAAAAAAATTATAATAAATTCCCGTATTGATTCTTGTGTACATGTAAAAAAAGTAAGGAAGAGATTAAAAACAGTTGTATAGATATATAAATAAAAATAAAACTGAAACCAAAGTAAATTTATAAGTTAAAAAAAAAATTATAATAAATTCCCGTATTGATTCTTGTGTACATGTAAAAAAAGTAAGGAAGAGATTAAAAACAGTTGTATAGATATATAAATACAAATAAAAATCACATCAAAGTAGTGTTAAGAAAACTCTTTTTTTTTCCCACTTCATAAAGAATATAAACATCAAATAATTGCATTGGTAAATATATATTTTGTACCATTGTGAAATACAACAGATGTCAATTTTTGAATATTTCAGGATCTCTTGTTCGGTTTATACATATTTTTTTTAAGAGAATCGACGAAGATTAGAATGAAAAATATGTCAACCTCATAGTTCTTCAACAAAGTCATTTCACGTCGAAAGTCGTTTCTTCACGAACATCACAAAAGATGTTGGGACTCGGTGGAGGTGACGAACCTAAACTTTTCCCAATACCAGAATCGGAACTCGCAGAATGAGTATGGTCTTTGTTTAGTCCTCTTTTGGGTGATGTCTGGTGATGTAAAACGATAGGGATTTGTGGTATGGGTGAAGAGGTGGCACTTCGACTAGGTCTTTGATCAGCACGCAGTCGATACTCCTTACTGCCGTCCTGAGAGCAGGAACATCAAGTCAGATGATGATTAACCTTCTCGTACAAAAAACGGAAAAGAAAAAGAAAAGAAATAAAGAAAACAAAGGTAAAATAAAATAAAAATTTGTCTCTTGTTTTACTTTCCCGGCTGTTAAGTATACTTAACGAGGGAAAGTATTTCGTTTAATATCTCAAGATGTAGTGACGATTAAGTAACGAAATTCGGCATGGTGGCTTGTATATGAAGGACATTAATGCTGTTAAATTTTGGTGGTTAAAGATCGATAGGTTGAGAAGATAGAGGGTGTCATGTGTCAGATTTCGAGAGAGATAAAACTTAATAACAAATAAAATCTTTATTAACATTCGCACTTTCTTATAAAACTCATCCCTACCCTCAAAATTAAGCTTTTTGCCATTTTAAAATAATTTAAAAAATTTTTTACAAAATCTCATAACAGATGGCGCCATATACAATTTTATTTATTTTGCTTAATAAGATACGAGTTTTTTTTACTTTTAACAGCCGGGAAAGTTACTCATCTCGTTGTTGGATTTTTTTTTAACATATTCCATTTTTTCTTTTGCTGGAGCATCGTTGGTAAAGTATTGAATATTTTATTAACTTGTGTAACGTAATGAGGATTATTTATCTTCCCCGCTTCTTTCCAGTGTTTATTATATTATTATATAATAAACTATGTGTGAATTATGTAAAAAATCAGTTGAAAATAAACGTTAGAAAATGAAACTAAAACTTTGTAATAATAATAATAATAAAATAATATAATAAACACAAGACTTTTGTATATAATAAAAAAATAAAATAGATTCAAAGTAATAATATATCAATATTAAATACATAAAAGATGAAAACTCTTACTTGATTGTCTGGGGAAAGGTAATTGACTCCCAACATGGGAGCATTGAGCATAGATGGTGGAGACGGTATGGAGGGAGTAGGGACTCGTCTGACAGGAGGGGTACCACCAGTTAGGCACCCAAATGATATACGATATATTCGGAATGGTTTAGGTGTGTCCATCGCGACGACTGGAGCAGAACCTAGATTAATGTCCATGTTATGAAAATACGTAAAATTTGCGAGGGAATAAAATGTTTTATACTCTTACTATGAGGTGAAGATGGTGGAGATAAACTAGGGTCACGTTCCATTCTATCTACTTTTACGCGTTCTCGCTTAACTTCAAAAAATTCAGGTGCCGTGCTTGTGAAATATATATCATTCTGTAAAAGATTTAATTAATAATCATTTATTTAAATTAATTTAAAATTATAAAAACAATTATGGTAATCAAATTACCTTTGTTGTGATAAATTTTAATTTAGGCATTGTCATACTATGCACTAAATTTCCATTAATTACTAATCTGATTTCAATTGTGTCCATTGTAAAAGCCAGTACATATGGAAAGGCACAGACTAAAATAATATAAAGAAAAATTTAATTGCATGTGTTTCTATGAAAGTTAAGAAAACGTCAGGATATAAAAACTAACGAGGAATCTAAAACAATTGAAAAGAAAATGGGAAGAAAGTAACAAGATGCTGTGGAACGTGATAAGAGTCAGTTCACAACACTTCATAAATCAAAGAATTCTTTCTACTTCCATTATCCCTTCATCCAGTTAGAGTATTCATGAATAAAATAACGAGCTCAAAAATTAATTTTACATTCATTTTTTTATAGACAAGTCTATTCTTTATGCAGTTATGTCATTTAAAAATTATTCCTAAGTGACATATAACGAGAAAAAAAATTCAGAAATCTTACCTACAGATTCTGGTACAGAATTCCATTGGAAGCTAAATTGGGGTGCTTCGTCTTCATTTACCTTCTGTAAGTGCGTCGTATCTTGTTATGTATAAAAATAGTGAATGTTGGCAACCAAAAAAAAAGCTGTAAAACTTAATAATTAATTTAATAAAAATGCTACTACGATAACTTACGATTATAGGATAAAAGAAGTTCTGCTTCATCATCTTCATACATATCAATTGCATTCACTAAGTGTACCTTTTGGAGTTAAAAATATATAATGTCATGCATAATATTTATTATTGATAAATAATAAAATATTCAGAAACGTACTCTTGGGCTATCTACAGTATAAAGATGATGCAAATTATTATTTTTCTCATTAATTAAATAAAATTGGTGTCTATATCCCACACAAATTTGATTATCCGTGTTCCCACTCGGCGAATCCACCAATGTTATAATTTGAGGTACTTCAGCAACAGATAATTCCTAAATATTTATACACACAAAAAAAGAATTATAAACTTGAATACAGTACTATTAAAATATTTATAAGACACTATAATTAAATTCATGAGCATTATGCCTTGGAAGAGCATTTGGTATTTTATTGAGAAGAGTTTGCTGCTACAGTAATAAATAAATAAATAAAAAAGGAAGTTATTCTCAAAAGAGTTAGACGTTGAATTTCTTAAATTGAAGTTTCTCACCCTGATAAATTGAAATCCCTCAACGGTATCTGTATCGGATGAAGAACACCAAGCTGTCCATGCAGCGGAATGGCGCCATTGCATTAACAATAGTTTTTTTCCTATAGCTACAACCATTCGTAAATGACTACAGCCTGGCCTACTAACTGCATATAAATGACAACCTAAGATATAAAAATTATATAATTCCATCACTTACATAGCATATAATTCAAAAAACTATGAAGAATAATGTCAAAAGGTGATGTATATTTGCGTATATTACATATAAAAATCTTAAATTTTATTATATTATATATTAAAAATAACATTACAGAAAGCAAAATATGTAAAGGTATTGATATATTTTCTTGAAAGGTCAAAGAAGTTTACAAGTATATAAGAATGTGTGTCATAGGAACAACCAGTAATTTGAAAAAAAAAAAAATATTTATATATATAATATTCTTTTGAAAAATATCTTTGAAAGTACAGTTTGTTTGTGCAGATGTATAATAATGGAGAAAGCATAATAATTCAAGAAAAAAAAATAATATAATAAAATAGAATAGAATAATTGATTTTGATTTCATTTCCAAACAGAAAAATGAAAATAGAATTTGAATAAGACGTAAAATTAATATTTTGGGGGAAGAAACATATAAAATTTAATAAATTATTTTACCTTTAGTTCTTTCTAATTTATGATCTTTCAAGTCGTTTTTGCTCTTTGTTGAAGATTCCGATTTCTCATCTTCGAAATCCGATAATCGAAATACATGAATTCGACTATCTCTTCCTTTATTATAAAGTTTATAATTAATAAAAAAATATATTTTTTTTCTTACTTACAAAATAAATAAAATGTACAAAAATTAACCTTTCTCAACACGAACAAGAAGAATTCCATGCGCTTCTGCAACGCTTAATTGTTTTACTTGAACAGTTCTATCAATTATTAAACGGTGGCTCATACCTTCTAACATTAACGAATATTAAAAATAAGTAATGTTTATATATATATATAAATTAATTAATTAATAAAATTATAATAAATTACCTTCTATCAGAAATACTCCAATTTCAGTGGCTAGAACGACTTTATTATCGTCTGAAAACATTAATTTTATAGCCGTATATTTAATAAAATTTAAAATATAAATAAAAATAATTACAAAATTTTTATTTAATTATAATTATACCCCAAGAATCTCCACAGATAACTTCATTAGGAAAATCTGGATAGAAGCAATGCGGTTCCCATGGCTATTAAAAAAAAGAAGCCAGAATCGTGCAGTTAATTTCATATAAAATGTATTTAAATTAAATTATAACTGAAGTTAAACCCATTATTTACTTACCTCTCTCTTAAAAATACTTGTAGTTGCCAAACTAGTGGGTGCATCTCCTTTTACTATGGTATCCAGTTTTAATGCCTATAAGAGCAACCTCATGAATTATTCATTCAATATCACTATACATATTTTAAATTAGAAACAAACAGATGTAAAGAATCTCAGCAACATCATAAGAAACAATTCAATTTTGATAAAGAATTAAATTTTATAAAGGTATAAAATCATATTTATTTATTTATTTGTAGTTAATAAATATACAAAATGTTAGCTGAATAAAAATCCAATAGAAAACTCAATAGTTTATATTGAATATCATGATGGATCAATATGAAAATACAAGAATATAAAACCAGATATATTCAAGTATGTTGAATATTGAATATAACTTATATTCAACAGTCTAGAAACTGTGGCCATAAAAAAATATTCTTGTATAAAACAATAATAAAAAAAACAAACCAAAATATATAAATATTTATATTTTATGATTCTTTTTTATTTGAAAATAAAATCAAATTTTCTATAAAAATCAATACAAAATGATTTGAAAAATAAGAGTTTTTTTAATATAAAAATAATAATATTATTATTATTATTAAATGTTAATTCTCATATGAAAACAAATTTTATAAATAATTTCTTTAAGTTATTATTCACTAAGATTAAGTTGTTATATAAAAGAGAGAAAACTTTTAAGTAATATATTACTATAAATTAATTAAGGTAATGATATAAATGGATTATATTTTAAGTAAATTTAACAATAATTTATAAATCTCTCAAGACAAAACATTAATCTTTCCCCCTCTTATAACGACATTAAATAACCTCAAGAGAATTTTCTGGTTTGTTTAATAAAAATTTTACCACGTAAATTACAATAAAGAAACCACTTGTATAATGATAAAGATATATAATTGTTACTTTCTAATAAAGTAAAAAAGTAACTGATAAGGATAAAATAAATTTTATTATGTTTTCTCTTCGTCAACTTCACACATATTACTTTATTTTATAATATAATTATAATCATTTTCTACAATAAATTGAGTTGATAAGTTAAGACATTATCCTATAATTACCTGTCCTATTCTTACAAATTCGACTTGACGTGCTTCTTCTTTTCTTCTTGATCCTTTTGGTGCTTCTGGAAGAACGTCGCTAAAAGCACGACGATTCAACATGTTCTAGAAATTTTATTTTAATTGATTAAAATAAATAAATTCTAATTTAATTATTAAATAAATTTTATATACATTTTAACCTTAAATTAATTCCCTTAAAAAATCTTTTTTATTATTATTATTTATAACTTACACTTCTATTTTCTGACATATGTTCTGCATATAAATCCTTAATTAACATTTCTAAAGTACGTTCTCTCTTCTGAGCAAATGTTGGAGTGTTAAAGGCAGCTTTTTCTCCATTTATTACTATTAAAAAAAATATATTAAATTATATCCTTAAAAATAAAATAAAATTAATAATAAAAACTAACATTTAACAAGTAAGAAGTCTCGAAATTCTTGATGATTTGTAAAAAAAGGTGGACATGGTAAAGTTGGACCAAATAATGGAACTGATTCTTCTGAATAAACTGATAATCTATTTTTAAAAGATAATAATAATACATTAAAATCTTTTAAAAATTCATAAAAAAAAATTATAAAATTTTATTTATTTTACCTATAAGAATCATCCTCCCTGCTATGGCTTACAACAGCAAATATATCTTTATATGAAGGATAAGAAAATATAATTCCATTTTATTGGACAATCAAAATCTTTCCTTTATTACAGAGATTACAAAATAATTCTAACAGAGTACAATATATTAAAAAAAAAATTCTATTTGATAACATAAATTAAGATGTTTGAACCCAAATATTTTATTATTTAATTAAAAATATGCATACAGAAGGATCTATATAGTGCAAAACTTATTTACAGGCAGGGCTGGATTTACATTTGTTGTGGCCCTTTCCCTCTACCAAATAGTGATACATGTAAAAATAATATAAGGCCCTAAGCTGCAACTTGTCCTATATACATTCAACTATTCTATATATTTGTATGGAATATTATAGTGCATTGGACTGCATTACACTTGTCAATTGATCCTTCCAGTGACAGATCTAGCAGTTAAAAAAGTTCATAAATAATCCTTTATTTAAAATTACATATAATTAACTGTAATTGATATTTATAAATGATTAAAAGAATGAATTTATTAAAGGAAATTATTATGTTAAGAAGTTATTTGTCTTCCTCAGAGTTTTATCTTATTTTTACAGAACAAATATTTCCTTTTATTTATCAACATCACAAAATATCTTTTATTAAAAATAAAAATAATAAAAAAAAAGACAATAACAAAAGATACAGCCACAGTACTACTATAAAAATCAATATTTATTTATATAATAATAATATTTCCAGATATAAAAAATAATATATATAAAAAAAAATGATTTTGATTTATTTTTTTCTTTGTTTTCATTGAGAAATAAATGGAATTTCTATGTACTTAAATTTATATTAGTTATATACTTTTAACAATAAATAATCTTTTTATTATAATTCTTTATAAAGTGGAATAACTTTAATGAATTATGATAGATACTAAAGAATTTATTATAATTTGCTGTAATAAAATATTTTAATGTCTGTCATAAATTCTGTAAGAAATTAAATGAGAGGATTTGAGCAATAAAAGTAAGTTTCTTCTATGATTAATGTATTTTTAAACTATAATAATAATGTAAATCTTTCAGTTAAATTTGTTAACTACAATAAAAATAATTTATATTTAATTTTTATCATTTAAATTCCTATTTTTATGATTTTCTCTTAAGTTAAAAATCATCCATCATCAAATTTCTTAATTATTATTATTATTATTTACAGTTTTTCTTTTCATTTAATATTTAGGAAAATGATGTGTTAATTTACATATCTAAAGTTTAAATTCAGACAGGTTTTATATATTTTTACTTAATAGTTAATTATTTTTAATATTATATTTAGTAAAATGATAGAAAAGGATACGTGTAAATTGCGACTTGATCATGGAAGGCTTGAAATTTGAAAAATCCTCATTATTCCCATCTAAGAATATGATATTTACTATATCATTTCCAATATGTCTCTTCCTTTCTACCTAAAAATAATAAATAAATAATGAAAATATATATAAAATTACTCTGTGACAGGTGTTTTATAATCTACCATACTTTGAATGCTGTTAATGTACAGTGGCGTGATATGCCATTAGTAAAAAAGGGCCCTACCAAATAAGGAGCCCCAGGCAATTGAGAAATGTTTGAAGTCATTATACACGGGGCCCCCTAATTCAAATTTTCCTGGGCCCCATAAAGCTATAATGTGCCACTGTTAATGATTTATTGTACTGAAGAATTACCCTATTATGATTAGAGTTTACTGAAAGGTCTATTGTAAAGAAAGGAAAGGGGAATATATGAAGTTTTTATATTCTGATAATCTATGCAATTTTAAAGAGAATTTAAAAATAGATTATATCAAATTTTTAACAGTAAACGAAGCAAATTGTTATCAAAATGCTATATAATCGATGAGTTTAATAAAGTTATTGCATTTATATTATGGAAAGGGACCTGTAGCAGTAGCTTAATGACCCAGTAGATTCCAATAAGCTATCACACGAAAAGGGAGGGATTACCAGTTATTTCCTGGGAGACCTTTGACAAGCAAACAACCCCATTAGGATTTTCAGATGACTTACTCATTCTACAAAGCTGAAACGATTTATTTGCCTCAATGGATGGCTCATAACAATATTATTAATTTTAAACAATGCCGATAAAATAACTTTATTTATTAATAAAACTTTAATATTAAAATTACAGAGTTTAAAAGTACTTTTCGGAAAAATAAATTGTGAAATTGCATACAAATTCGCATGCAAAATCATAATTTTCATGATTAAAAGGTTTACATTGTTACAAAGGTTTATAAAGGTTGTGTTTACATTTAATAATGTAATAAAATTTACCAGATAAAACANAAGTAAATTTATAAGTTAAAAAAAAAATTATAATAAATTCCCGTATTGATTCTTGTGTACATGTAAAAAAAGTAAGGAAGAGATTAAAAACAGTTGTATAGATATATAAATACAAATAAAAATCACATCAAAGTAGTGTTAAGAAAACTCTTTTTTTTTCCCACTTCATAAAGAATATAAACATCAAATAATTGCATTGGTAAATATATATTTTGTACCATTGTGAAATACAACAGATGTCAATTTTTGAATATTTCAGGATCTCTTGTTCGGTTTATACATATTTTTTTTAAGAGAATCGACGAAGATTAGAATGAAAAATATGTCAACCTCATAGTTCTTCAACAAAGTCATTTCACGTCGAAAGTCGTTTCTTCACGAACATCACAAAAGATGTTGGGACTCGGTGGAGGTGACGAACCTAAACTTTTCCCAATACCAGAATCGGAACTCGCAGAATGAGTATGGTCTTTGTTTAGTCCTCTTTTGGGTGATGTCTGGTGATGTAAAACGATAGGGATTTGTGGTATGGGTGAAGAGGTGGCACTTCGACTAGGTCTTTGATCAGCACGCAGTCGATACTCCTTACTGCCGTCCTGAGAGCAGGAACATCAAGTCAGATGATGATTAACCTTCTCGTACAAAAAACGGAAAAGAAAAAGAAAAGAAATAAAGAAAACAAAGGTAAAATAAAATAAAAATTTGTCTCTTGTTTTACTTTCCCGGCTGTTAAGTATACTTAACGAGGGAAAGTATTTCGTTTAATATCTCAAGATGTAGTGACGATTAAGTAACGAAATTCGGCATGGTGGCTTGTATATGAAGGGCATTAATGCTGTTAAATTTTGGTGGTTAAAGATCGATAGGTTGAGAAGATAGAGGGTGTCATGTGTCAGATTTCGAGAGAGATAAAACTTAATAACAAATAAAATCTTTATTAACATTCGCACTTTCTTATAAAACTCATCCCTACCCTCAAAATTAAGCTTTTTGCCATTTTAAAATAATTTAAAAAATTTTTTACAAAATCTCATAACAGATGGCGCCATATACAATTTTATTTATTTTGCTTAATAAGATACGAGTTTTTTTTACTTTTAACAGCCGGGAAAGTTACTCATCTCGTTGTTGGATTTTTTTTTAACATATTCCATTTTTTCTTTTGCTGGAGCATCGTTGGTAAAGTATTGAATATTTTATTAACTTGTGTAACGTAATGAGGATTATTTATCTTCCCCGCTTCTTTCCAGTGTTTATTATATTATTATATAATAAACTATGTGTGAATTATGTAAAAAATCAGTTGAAAATAAACGTTAGAAAATGAAACTAAAACTTTGTAATAATAATAATAATAAAATAATATAATAAACACAAGACTTTTGTATATAATAAAAAAATAAAATAGATTCAAAGTAATAATATATCAATATTAAATACATAAAAGATGAAAACTCTTACTTGATTGTCTGGGGAAAGGTAATTGACTCCCAACATGGGAGCATTGAGCATAGATGGTGGAGACGGTATGGAGGGAGTAGGGACTCGTCTGACAGGAGGGGTACCACCAGTTAGGCACCCAAATGATATACGATATATTCGGAATGGTTTAGGTGTGTCCATCGCGACGACTGGAGCAGAACCTAGATTAATGTCCATGTTATGAAAATACGTAAAATTTGCGAGGGAATAAAATGTTTTATACTCTTACTATGAGGTGAAGATGGTGGAGATAAACTAGGGTCACGTTCCATTCTATCTACTTTTACGCGTTCTCGCTTAACTTCAAAAAATTCAGGTGCCGTGCTTGTGAAATATATATCATTCTGTAAAAGATTTAATTAATAATCATTTATTTAAATTAATTTAAAATTATAAAAACAATTATGGTAATCGAATTACCTTTGTTGTGATAAATTTTAATTTAGGCATTGTCATACTATGCACTAAATTTCCATTAATTACTAATCTGATTTCAATTGTGTCCATTGTAAAAGCCAGTACATATGGAAAGGCACAGACTAAAATAATATAAAGAAAAATTTAATTGCATGTGTTTCTATGAAAGTTAAGAAAACGTCAGGATATAAAAACTAACGAGGAATCTAAAACAATTGAAAAGAAAATGGGAAGAAAGTAACAAGATGCTGTGGAACGTGATAAGAGTCAGTTCACAACACTTCATAAATCAAAGAATTCTTTCTACTTCCATTATCCCTTCATCCAGTTAGAGTATTCATGAATAAAATAACGAGCTCAAAAATTAATTTTACATTCATTTTTTTATAGACAAGTCTATTCTTTATGCAGTTATGTCATTTAAAAATTATTCCTAAGTGACATATAACGAGAAAAAAAATTCAGAAATCTTACCTACAGATTCTGGTACAGAATTCCATTGGAAGCTAAATTGGGGTGCTTCGTCTTCATTTACCTTCTGTAAGTGCGTCGTATCTTGTTATGTATAAAAATAGTGAATGTTGGCAACCAAAAAAAAAGCTGTAAAACTTAATAATTAATTTAATAAAAATGCTACTACGATAACTTACGATTATAGGATAAAAGAAGTTCTGCTTCATCATCTTCATACATATCAATTGCATTCACTAAGTGTACCTTTTGGAGTTAAAAATATATAATGTCATGCATAATATTTATTATTTATAAATAATAAAATATTCAGAAACGTACTCTTGGGCTATCTACAGTATAAAGATGATGCAAATTATTATTTTTCTCATTAATTAAATAAAATTGGTGTCTATATCCCACACAAATTTGATTATCCGTGTTCCCACTCGGCGAATCCACCAATGTTATAATTTGAGGTACTTCAGCAACAGATAATTCCTAAATATTTATACACACAAAAAAAGAATTATAAACTTGAATACAGTACTATTAAAATATTTATAAGACACTATAATTAAATTCATGAGCATTATGCCTTGGAAGAGCATTTGGTATTTTATTGAGAAGAGTTTGCTGCTACAGTAATAAATAAATAAATAAAAAAAAAAGGAAGTTATTCTCAAAAGAGTTAGACGTTGAATTTCTTAAATTGAAGTTTCTCACCCTGATAAATTGAAATCCCTCAACGGTATCTGTATCGGATGAAGAACACCAAGCTGTCCATGCAGCGGAATGGCGCCATTGCATTAACAATAGTTTTTTTCCTATAGCTACAACCATTCGTAAATGACTACAGCCTGGCCTACTAACTGCATATAAATGACAACCTAAGATATAAAAATTATATAATTCCATCACTTACATAGCATATAATTCAAAAAACTATGAAGAATAATGTCAAAAGGTGATGTATATTTGCGTATATTACATATAAAAATCTTAAATTTTATTATATTATATATTAAAAATAACATTACAGAAAGCAAAATATGTAAAGGTATTGATATATTTTCTTGAAAGGTCAAAGAAGTTTACAAGTATATAAGAATGTGTGTCATAGGAACAACCAGTAATTTGAAAAAAAAAAAAATATTTATATATATAATATTCTTTTGAAAAATATCTTTGAAAGTACAGTTTGTTTGTGCAGATGTATAATAATGGAGAAAGCATAATAATTCAAGAAAAAAAAATAATATAATAAAATAGAATAGAATAATTGATTTTGATTTCATTTCCAAACAGAAAAATGAAAATAGAATTTGAATAAGACGTAAAATTAATATTTTGGGGGAAGAAACATATAAAATTTAATAAATTATTTTACCTTTAGTTCTTTCTAATTTATGATCTTTCAAGTCGTTTTTGCTCTTTGTTGAAGATTCCGATTTCTCATCTTCGAAATCCGATAATCGAAATACATGAATTCGACTATCTCTTCCTTTATTATAAAGTTTATAATTAATAAAAAAATATATTTTTTTTCTTACTTACAAAATAAATAAAATGTACAAAAATTAACCTTTCTCAACACGAACAAGAAGAATTCCATGCGCTTCTGCAACGCTTAATTGTTTTACTTGAACAGTTCTATCAATTATTAAACGGTGGCTCATACCTTCTAACATTAACGAATATTAAAAATAAGTAATGTTTATATATATATATAAATTAATTAATTAATAAAATTATAATAAATTACCTTCTATCAGAAATACTCCAATTTCAGTGGCTAGAACGACTTTATTATCGTCTGAAAACATTAATTTTATAGCCGTATATTTAATAAAATTTAAAATATAAATAAAAATAATTACAAAATTTTTATTTAATTATAATTATACCCCAAGAATCTCCACAGATAACTTCATTAGGAAAATCTGGATAGAAGCAATGCGGTTCCCATGGCTATTAAAAAAAAGAAGCCAGAATCGTGCAGTTAATTTCATATAAAATGTATTTAAATTAAATTATAACTGAAGTTAAACCCATTATTTACTTACCTCTCTCTTAAAAATACTTGTAGTTGCCAAACTAGTGGGTGCATCTCCTTTTACTATGGTATCCAGTTTTAATGCCTATAAGAGCAACCTCATGAATTATTCATTCAATATCACTATACATATTTTAAATTAGAAACAAACAGATGTAAAGAATCTCAGCAACATCATACTTTTACGCGTTCTCGCTTAACTTCAAAAAATTCAGGTGCCGTGCTTGTGAAATATATATCATTCTGTAAAAGATTTAATTAATAATCATTTATTTAAATTAATTTAAAATTATAAAAACAATTATGGTAATCAAATTACCTTTGTTGTGATAAATTTTAATTTAGGCATTGTCATACTATGCACTAAATTTCCATTAATTACTAATCTGATTTCAATTGTGTCCATTGTAAAAGCCAGTACATATGGAAAGGCACAGACTAAAATAATATAAAGAAAAATTTAATTGCATGTGTTTCTATGAAAGTTAAGAAAACGTCAGGATATAAAAACTAACGAGGAATCTAAAACAATTGAAAAGAAAATGGGAAGAAAGTAACAAGATGCTGTGGAACGTGATAAGAGTCAGTTCACAACACTTCATAAATCAAAGAATTCTTTCTACTTCCATTATCCCTTCATCCAGTTAGAGTATTCATGAATAAAATAACGAGCTCAAAAATTAATTTTACATTCATTTTTTTATAGACAAGTCTATTCTTTATGCAGTTATGTCATTTAAAAATTATTCCTAAGTGACATATAACGAGAAAAAAAATTCAGAAATCTTACCTACAGATTCTGGTACAGAATTCCATTGGAAGCTAAATTGGGGTGCTTCGTCTTCATTTACCTTCTGTAAGTGCGTCGTATCTTGTTATGTATAAAAATAGTGAATGTTGGCAACCAAAAAAAAAGCTGTAAAACTTAATAATTAATTTAATAAAAATGCTACTACGATAACTTACGATTATAGGATAAAAGAAGTTCTGCTTCATCATCTTCATACATATCAATTGCATTCACTAAGTGTACCTTTTGGAGTTAAAAATATATAATGTCATGCATAATATTTATTATTGATAAATAATAAAATATTCAGAAACGTACTCTTGGGCTATCTACAGTATAAAGATGATGCAAATTATTATTTTTCTCATTAATTAAATAAAATTGGTGTCTATATCCCACACAAATTTGATTATCCGTGTTCCCACTCGGCGAATCCACCAATGTTATAATTTGAGGTACTTCAGCAACAGATAATTCCTAAATATTTACACACACAAAAAAANAAGTTTATAATTAATAAAAAAATATATTTTTTTTCTTACTTACAAAATAAATAAAATGTACAAAAATTAACCTTTCTCAACACGAACAAGAAGAATTCCATGCGCTTCTGCAACGCTTAATTGTTTTACTTGAACAGTTCTATCAATTATTAAACGGTGGCTCATACCTTCTAACATTAACGAATATTAAAAATAAGTAATGTTTATATATATATATAAATTAATTAATTAATAAAATTATAATAAATTACCTTCTATCAGAAATACTCCAATTTCAGTGGCTAGAACGACTTTATTATCGTCTGAAAACATTAATTTTATAGCCGTATATTTAATAAAATTTAAAATATAAATAAAAATAATTACAAAATTTTTATTTAATTATAATTATACCCCAAGAATCTCCACAGATAACTTCATTAGGAAAATCTGGATAGAAGCAATGCGGTTCCCATGGCTATTAAAAAAAAGAAGCCAGAATCGTGCAGTTAATTTCATATAAAATGTATTTAAATTAAATTATAACTGAAGTTAAACCCATTATTTACTTACCTCTCTCTTAAAAATACTTGTAGTTGCCAAACTAGTGGGTGCATCTCCTTTTACTATGGTATCCAGTTTTAATGCCTATAAGAGCAACCTCATGAATTATTCATTCAATATCACTATACATATTTTAAATTAGAAACAAACAGATGTAAAGAATCTCAGCAACATCATAAGAAACAATTCAATTTTGATAAAGAATTAAATTTTATAAAGGTATAAAATCATATTTATTTATTTATTTGTAGTTAATAAATATACAAAATGTTAGCTGAATAAAAATCCAATAGAAAACTCAATAGTTTATATTGAATATCATGATGGATCAATATGAAAATACAAGAATATAAAACCAGATATATTCAAGTATGTTGAATATTGAATATAACTTATATTCAACAGTCTAGAAACTGTGGCCATAAAAAAATATTCTTGTATAAAACAATAATAAAAAAAACAAACCAAAATATATAAATATTTATATTTTATGATTCTTTTTTATTTGAAAATAAAATCAAATTTTCTATAAAAATCAATACAAAATGATTTGAAAAATAAGAGTTTTTTTAATATAAAAATAATAATATTATTATTATTATTAAATGTTAATTCTCATATGAAAACAAATTTTATAAATAATTTCTTTAAGTTATTATTCACTAAGATTAAGTTGTTATATAAAAGAGAGAAAACTTTTAAGTAATATATTACTATAAATTAATTAAGGTAATGATATAAATGGATTATATTTTAAGTAAATTTAACAATAATTTATAAATCTCTCAAGACAAAACATTAATCTTTCCCCCTCTTATAACGACATTAAATAACCTCAAGAGAATTTTCTGGTTTGTTTAATAAAAATTTTACCACGTAAATTACAATAAAGAAACCACTTGTATAATGATAAAGATATATAATTGTTACTTTCTAATAAAGTAAAAAAGTAACTGATAAGGATAAAATAAATTTTATTATGTTTTCTCTTCGTCAACTTCACACATATTACTTTATTTTATAATATAATTATAATCATTTTCTACAATAAATTGAGTTGATAAGTTAAGACATTATCCTATAATTACCTGTCCTATTCTTACAAATTCGACTTGACGTGCTTCTTCTTTTCTTCTTGATCCTTTTGGTGCTTCTGGAAGAACGTCGCTAAAAGCACGACGATTCAACATGTTCTAGAAATTTTATTTTAATTGATTAAAATAAATAAATTCTAATTTAATTATTAAATAAATTTTATATACATTTTAACCTTAAATTAATTCCCTTAAAAAATCTTTTTTATTATTATTATTTATAACTTACACTTCTATTTTCTGACATATGTTCTGCATATAAATCCTTAATTAACATTTCTAAAGTACGTTCTCTCTTCTGAGCAAATGTTGGAGTGTTAAAGGCAGCTTTTTCTCCATTTATTACTATTAAAAAAAATATATTAAATTATATCCTTAAAAATAAAATAAAATTAATAATAAAAACTAACATTTAACAAGTAAGAAGTCTCGAAATTCTTGATGATTTGTAAAAAAAGGTGGACATGGTAAAGTTGGACCAAATAATGGAACTGATTCTTCTGAATAAACTGATAATCTATTTTTAAAAGATAATAATAATACATTAAAATCTTTTAAAAATTCATAAAAAAAAATTATAAAATTTTATTTATTTTACCTATAAGAATCATCCTCCCTGCTATGGCTTACAACAGCAAATATATCTTTATATGAAGGATAAGAAAATATAATTCCATTTTATTGGACAATCAAAATCTTTCCTTTATTACAGAGATTACAAAATAATTCTAACAGAGTACAATATATTAAAAAAAAAATTCTATTTGATAACATAAATTAAGATGTTTGAACCCAAATATTTTATTATTTAATTAAAAATATGCATACAGAAGGATCTATATAGTGCAAAACTTATTTACAGGCAGGGCTGGATTTACATTTGTTGTGGCCCTTTCCCTCTACCAAATAGTGATACATGTAAAAATAATATAAGGCCCTAAGCTGCAACTTGTCCTATATACATTCAACTATTCTATATATTTGTATGGAATATTATAGTGCATTGGACTGCATTACACTTGTCAATTGATCCTTCCAGTGACAGATCTAGCAGTTAAAAAAGTTCATAAATAATCCTTTATTTAAAATTACATATAATTAACTGTAATTGATATTTATAAATGATTAAAAGAATGAATTTATTAAAGGAAATTATTATGTTAAGAAGTTATTTGTCTTCCTCAGAGTTTTATCTTATTTTTACAGAACAAATATTTCCTTTTATTTATCAACATCACAAAATATCTTTTATTAAAAATAAAAATAATAAAAAAAAGACAATAACAAAAGATACAGCCACAGTACTACTATAAAAATCAATATTTATTTATATAATAATAATATTTCCAGATATAAAAAATAATATATATAAAAAAAAATGATTTTGATTTATTTTTTTCTTTGTTTTCATTGAGAAATAAATGGAATTTCTATGTCCTTAAATTTATATTAGTTATATACTTTTAACAATAAATAATCTTTTTATTATAATTCTTTATAAAGTGGAATAACTTTAATGAATTATGATAGATACTAAAGAATTTATTATAATTTGCTGTAATAAAATATTTTAATGTCTGTCATAAATTCTGTAAGAAATTAAATGAGAGGATTTGAGCAATAAAAGTAAGTTTCTTCTATGATTAATGTATTTTTAAACTATAATAATAATGTAAATCTTTCAGTTAAATTTGTTAACTACAATAAAAATAATTTATATTTAATTTTTATCATTTAAATTCCTATTTTTATGATTTTCTCTTAAGTTAAAAATCATCCATCATCAAATTTCTTAATTATTATTATTATTATTTACAGTTTTTCTTTTCATTTAATATTTAGGAAAATGATGTGTTAATTTACATATCTAAAGTTTAAATTCAGACAGGTTTTATATATTTTTACTTAATAGTTAATTATTTTTAATATTATATTTAGTAAAATGATAGAAAAGGATACGTGTAAATTGCGACTTGATCATGGAAGGCTTGAAATTTGAAAAATCCTCATTATTCCCATCTAAGAATATGATATTTACTATATCATTTCCAATATGTCTCTTCCTTTCTACCTAAAAATAATAAATAAATAATGAAAATATATATAAAATTACTCTGTGACAGGTGTTTTATAATCTACCATACTTTGAATGCTGTTAATGTACAGTGGCGTGATATGCCATTAGTAAAAAAGGGCCCTACCAAATAAGGAGCCCCAGGCAATTGAGAAATGTTTGAAGTCATTATACACGGGGCCCCCTAATTCAAATTTTCCTGGGCCCCATAAAGCTATAATGTGCCACTGTTAATGATTTATTGTACTGAAGAATTACCCTATTATGATTAGAGTTTACTGAAAGGTCTATTGTAAAGAAAGGAAAGGGGAATATATGAAGTTTTTATATTCTGATAATCTATGCAATTTTAAAGAGAATTTAAAAATAGATTATATCAAATTTTTAACAGTAAACGAAGCAAATTGTTATCAAAATGCTATATAATCGATGAGTTTAATAAAGTTATTGCATTTATATTATGGAAAGGGACCTGTAGCAGTAGCTTAATGACCCAGTAGATTCCAATAAGCTATCACACGAAAAGGGAGGGATTACCAGTTATTTCCTGGGAGACCTTTGACAAGCAAACAACCCCATTAGGATTTTCAGATGACTTACTCATTCTACAAAGCTGAAACGATTTATTTGCCTCAATGGATGGCTCATAACAATATTATTAATTTTAAACAATGCCGATAAAATAACTTTATTTATTAATAAAACTTTAATATTAAAATTACAGAGTTTAAAAGTACTTTTCGGAAAAATAAATTGTGAAATTGCATACAAATTCGCATGCAAAATCATAATTTTCATGATTAAAAGGTTTACATTGTTACAAAGGTTTATAAAGGTTGTGTTTACATTTAATAATGTAATAAAATTTACCAGATAAAACATTGATATTACTTTTATTAGATTTCACGTAATAAAATTGTATAATTAAGTAATTTTTTTTTAATATTTACCTGCTGACGATTGTCCTTGGAATAAGGCAAAAGTGTCGAAACATGGAACATAATCTCATGACCTTCATAAATTGTATAGATAGAATACCTCCCTGTCATATCCCCTATAATGTAAGAAAACATATATTTTATTTATATTTTTTAAAAATTATTTGTTAAAATAAAAGAGTTTAAAGCTGCTAATAGAATTAGAAAAGTTTTCTAACTTTTACTTAAATAATTAAATAAAAACATTCCCTTCTTCTTACTGTTTACTTTAACTAATTAATTTCTAATTAACGAAGATGATAATTTTATTAATTTTTGTTGAATTGATTTCGTTTTAATCTCCTATTTTATGATATTTTTCTTTTAAAATTTCTAATCTTTTAATGCAAATGTTAGAAAGTATTATACAGGGTTGTTCGCATCAGAGGATGCTTTCAATTAAAGCACACGTATCATACTGTGATTTTCTAAGTTACACATTAATTAATTAAGTAATAAATTAATTATACGGCATATCTTAATGCTTATAACACGATTTACATTGTAAATTACATGTTCCTCTGACATCCCCGTATGATACTGTACAGTACTGTACTGTACATAAATACGCGCTATGAAAGCATCCTCTGGTGCGATATTTTTGAACAGCCCTGTATAAGTTAATAATAAAAAGTTTCAATAAAAAATAAGCAAAAAGTATATTTAAATTTTGTAAAAATTATAATTGGCATATTGCATTAGGGGGTGCAAAGTGAAGAATATAAAGAGCAAGACTTTTATTCGAATCAGTCATTTTTAGCAATAATTTCGTACAGAATATATAAAATTATATCTAAAAATCAAATAATGATTATTAAAAAAAGGTAAAAAAAACACACACACAATTGTAATCACGAAATGATTCAAACAATACTTAGTGATATAAAAGAGAATACACAGAGACTAGTCTTTACACTTATATAGTTTCAGGTCAATTCGAAGTCATAGCTAATACGTTCTAGATTGTATAATATATAACTCGAATATATTTAAATTGAAGTTTTAAAGTACTGTGGATTCCCTCGAGAATGATAGAAAAGTTGGAAGGAATAGAAGAGGAAGAGGGGGAAAAATACAAGAAGGTCGGATACTATCAAAACCATCATCGATATGTAACACAAAGAACTGAAAGAAGATAGAAAACTCTGAAGCAGCATTGTTCACAGGGGTCACTAAAAGTAGGAAACGACTGAACGGATAACAGCAAACAAAACATGTACGTGACCTGTATTAATCTCTCGTTTCTATGTTCGGTTGTATGATCTATATTTAATGCTAATGGTTTCTTATTTATGCATAAATATTCTATATTTTACAATTGTATCGCACATTATCATAGTGTTAATTGTTCAATAAAATATATACTACTAATAATATTAATTTCATGTTTATAGATCCTTATACGTAAAGCCAAAAATAAATAAGAGGAAATTATATATTACGAACTTATAATATTATAAGTAAACGTGAACGTCGAACGTCGAGCCGCTATCTTGTAAGTGGCGCTCGACGTTTGACGTTTTAGAGATGAAAACTTTGGCCGCAATCTCACTAATAATACATAAAAAAGCTACAAAATTGTTGTTTTTTTACCTTTTCATTTGCAAATCAGTCAATCACTTCCTCTAAATCAAGTTGACAAGCTATTGTTTTTTCAATTGTTATAGTTGCCAAAGAGCTAAGACAGCGTTGTGACATGCTGTTTCTTAAATACATTTTGATTAATTTCATTTTTGAAAAACTTTATTCTGCTGTTGCTGTTGACACCGGTAAAGTTTTAAAAAAATGACGCATCTTTGAATAATGACAGAGAAGCTATTTGAGGATGTAGTGTGAGTTAAAATTAGTTAGGAAACGTCGCATATAGAGA